AAAATAAGTTATCTTGTGCATATTTGGATACGGATAAATTCTTTTTAAACGGATAATTTCTTATTTTTAAGATCTTTTTTCTTGCTTTAGATGACCGACTTCAAATTTTTCAAGTTCGCGTCTGCCTACTTTACGACTTCAAACTGGGCAAAACAGTCGCGGAATCCCATTGAGATTTGGTCAAAGCATTTGGGAATGATATATTGTTCGAAAGCCGATGCCGAGCCTAGTTCCAACGCTTTCGGAACGGTGATGAAAGTTTCGAGGATCATGAACACTCTCGTCAAGAATATCGTTGTCTACCTCAACGGTAGACAACGATATTTTGAGGGCTGCAATCGAATCGGATCGAATCGGATGTCAAACGACGCGTCAACTTGCTCAATAGTTTCTTTGTTCAAATTCTACCATTGATGAGCATCTCCACGCCATTGGAAAGGCGATCAGATGCGGGAAATGACTTCCTCACGAGTTAAGCAGTGCAAACGCTCGTTTATATCCGAACAACTTAATATAACTGCCAGATTTTGTCTGAAATTGATCTGTTAAGGTTTAAAAAGAGATTCTGAGTTCTCAAATGCAAAAGATAAGGGATGAAAGGGTGCAATAGCCATGGGACACAGTTAGAATTCAACCCTATAGCTTTTGAGTTGCACCAAGATCTGTAAAACTTGCTCCTTCTAGTCCAGCCTTAGGAAACAGAACAGACAAGTGCTGAATTTCCGTAACTTTATTGTAGGATGAGATTTACGCTGTGAAGGAAAGGCTGGATCTGAAAGGACAGGATTTTAATTCTAGTAGCTCTAGAGAAGCCTGTAATTCAAGAGTTAAAGATTAAAAAGAGATTGGTAAAATTTACTCAAGTTAACTTTTTGATAAGAACTTTTGTTATAACAAATTGACAGATTGGCTAAAAGGGCTAAAAAAACTGGAAAACTAAAAAATCAGTTTACTTAACTGTTACGAAAAGTACAAGTTTGCGCTTCAAAGCAAATGGATGTAGCGGGTTTCATCAAAGCTCTGACTTTCCGAGGGGGTCAGGGAAAAAGTGCATTGTGATTGAGGAGAGCTGACCAGGAAAATGAGAGAGCGAATTACTCAAGGACATCGCCCAGCAGGGACTGATTGAAAAAGGAAAGGGGAAAAGTTGGATGGATCAACTGATATTTTGACTTGGGTAAGAGATCCAAAGAGAGACTTTTGTCGAAAAGAAAATGGACAAGGAGGAAAGAGCGTAGTTAAACAGGAGCCAAGTTGAACTTGCATAGAAAGTAGGCCTGTGAAAGCTTCAATTTTGACTTTGAGATTTAGTTGTGCTGATCAAAAAGTAATTGGGCAATCGGCTGTCATTTTATCATTTTAGCCGAAGCCTAGTGATTGGATCTGATGCTCTTTTCATTGACAATTACAATTGGGTAAGTGGTCATTTAGTGAATTTCTTGAATTCACTGACTATCTCATAAATAATTTACTCAGTCCTTATAGACACACTGTTTTTTTCGCTAGTTTTGAGGGCGCCAAAAGTGCTAGCCCAGTGAAAAGTATTTTTTTGATTTCTTTAATGTAAAAAAGCATCCCATGCAAAATTGCAAGTCATTTCACTCATCTAAAGTAGTTAGTTAGTTTTTGGTTGTCTTTTTGGTTATTAATTATGTTTATTTTTTCATTTTTTCATTTTCAGACATTTCACTTGGAAAACAACTGGATGTGGTGGACAAAACGCTCATCGATGTGCTCCACATACTTGGGCACTCAAACAGGGACATTGCTCGTCGCAACGTTCTGGAAGTGTATTCAAATGAATCTCAAGACCAAAGTACTCCTGAGAAGAAAGAAACACGCGGCCGGAAGAAAACGTTGACCAATCGAGACGCACAAGCAATTATTAGACGTCTTTCCAACACGACGACAGCGCTCGAAGAGGTCCGCAAGAAGATAAAGCTTCCAGTCACTCGCCAAACTGTGCGCAACGTTGTCAAACAACCTCCAATACTAAAGTACAAACTCATGAAACAAGCTCCACGACTTACAAAGGACCATGAAGCCCCCCGTGTCGACTACGCTCAAAAGAACCAGAAGACCAATTGGGAGGGGATTGGTTTAATGGTAATTTCTTATATATTTTGTTTAGATCATTTGGAGTGACGAAAAGAAGTTCAACCTCAATGGCGCTGATGATTTTTGAGGATACTGAAGGGATTCACGAAAGCTGGGCATGGAACTTTGGAGGTGGAACATGCATAGTATGGGGAGTCTTTTGAGACGGTGAGCTGGTCGGCTTAGAGTTTATTTCGACCCGGATGACATCACTGAACTATCAACAAGTGTTGGAAGCGGCTATCAACAAGCTAGTCGTCTATTTGAACAGAATCCGGGCAATAACTTCACTTTTATGCAACGCGAGTATCCATGTGAGGAGTTGCTCCACAAGAGATTGACTGACAGCGCAAAAAAACGACACTCTCTCTTGGGCGGCTTGCAGCCCCGAACCCAATTGAGAATGTGTGGGGAGCAATCTTTCGAGATGTCTACAAGGGAAACAAGCAATATTAGAACGTGGATGAACTCGAGAAAGCCATTTAAGAAGCCTGGAACCGACTTCAGCCGACAGCACTTCAAAACCTTGTCTCTTCGATACTAAAACGTTGTCTCTTCCAAAACTTTGTCTCCCTTCGATCTTTTTTGAAGTTAGACTAAAGCAAGGAGGGCCCACACATTATTAATTTATTTGTTTTGTGTTGTTATTTTAATTTGTTAACATTTTCTTGACAAAATAAAAGTGCGTCTATAATTTTTTGACAGTTTTAAAAATGCAATCTTTACGTTTCTGTACTTTGATTGGTTGAAATGGTGCTATTTTTTTGAGATAAAGAAACTAAAAATACTTTCTAAAATAATAGCTGCTATCGCGCGCTCAAAACTAGCAAAAAAACAGCGTCTATAAACTCGCGTCTAATTTTTTGACAGAATTTAGCAAATTTAAATTTATCTAATTGTCTTTGACCAAAGGAAAACACAATTTAAGGTTTAGCAAAGGAAATCATTTGCTTTGTCAGCTTTTAGTGAGTATTTAGCAGAATATAGCAGACTAAAGAGGTTGCAAAAGTTTTAAAGAAAGAAATTTATGTCTTTGTGCAACCTTGTTAGCAGAGAATTTAGATTTTTGATGAAAAACCGGGAAAAGAACGGAGCTACGCAAAATATAACTGGGAAATTGAGATCGCAGCTACGCAAAGTCTATCCGTGCAATTAAAAGAAAAAGATTTTTATGACAACAAAATAATCCTTTACAATTTAATTTCAAATGTAAATGCAAATGTAAATCCAAATGCAAATATTTTGCTAGTTGTTGAATCGAAAACTTTGAGCAAAATCAAATGATTGCCGCGCCCCTATTGAGTGGGAGAGAGTTTTATGTGCAAATGAGTCATTGAAACAACATCAAAGGAGGAATCCCGCATTTGAAATAAAAAAGGAGGAAAAGCCGGTTATTCAATCGAGGGCAATTCGTGAGGAAATTTATGTTAGGAAGTTTTTTTGATAGTCAAAGATGGGTTTTGAGAAGGGTGAACGGTTAGGGAAATTGCATTGATGTGATTGACTGAAAAAAACTGTTGAAGGCTTAGTTTGTTGAGCTCAGAAACGAGCCAAAATTGCCAATGGTGCAGTTTTTAAAGTCATTTTTATCCGTTTTTCATTTTATCCGTTTTTGAGTAGACTTTTACATCTTGAGGTAAAGCAAAGCGCTCTTTTTGCTCCGATCTCACCCTGCAACAGTAAATTAAAGTAAATTTTCAAAAATCTAACTAATTTTTGTCTAATTTTTGAAATTTTGGCAATGAAATTAAGAATGATTCGAAAAATTTACATTGTAAGCTGTAAAGTAATGAAGAGTTGTTGAATTTGCAAAGGTTTCTGGGCATAGAAACACACACAATTTTGACAAAATACAGTTCTAGATATCTAAAGAAAAATTTCGAGTTTACATTTGCTAGAAAATGCAAAATTTTAGTTATTAAATCAATGCTGGAAGAGATTTGAAATGTTTTTAAATGGAATTGAAAGTGTATCTGCAATGTGCCGTTACTCACCGGGAAACTCATACAAAATAACAATGGATTTGAAAAGGAAAATTATTTCAATGCTCAAAAGGATTATTGTCGAAAAACAAGGAACAATTTTGTGGAAGAGTCGAGAAAAGAGAATAGGTTGAGGTTTAACCTGGACACTTGGGATCGATCGATTATTGGAGGACCTTGGGATGAGGGAAAGAGGAGAGAGGAGCACGAGAGAGTGGAGAGTGAGGAGAATGAGAAATCGGTGATTGAGAAAGCTGTAGATTTTAGAGATAGAGGTTGATCTAGGGAAAGGAAGGGATGTTGAAAGCATACGAATGAGGGAATTGGAATGGAAATGACACAGAGAATGGTAAAAAGATAAGCGTTAGCACAAGATATGGATAAAGGGGAATAGATCAGAGCAAGAGTTCAAAATGAGGCTTAACACCTCAAGGATTTAAAGCAGAGGAAGAAGAGAAGGAAGAAGAAGAAGAAGATTTTAAAGAGTTAGAGCGATAAAAAGGTAGAGAAAGACGAATAGGATAGAAATCATAGACACAAGTGTTAGTAGTAGAATTTGGAAATTGGTGATTGAGAAAGTTGTAGATCCTAGAGAAATAGAAAGCTGTAGATTCTAGAGATTGATCTAGACTTAGAGATTGTGATAGCTAAAGCTTTAAAGAATTGGATCAAAAAAGCAGACTCTAGAAAAGTTACGAAAAGATTCGATTAGAAAGATAACGAGTGAGGAGCAAAGATTTCAGCAAAGAAAGTGAAGGTTGCAAAAATTTGAGAAAGCAAAAGCTTTTAGGCAAAAGAATAGAAAGTTCAGAAAGATAATGAGCAAATGGGTGCAGAGAAAGGGATAAAGGAAAAGATTTGCAAAGAGAAAGCGGAGCACGAGTAGTGGACTGACGAGTTTACAACAGGAAGAGCTCCTTAGGGGCCGATCGGCTCAAAGGTGCTTGGAGCCAGCTGGTCCCCTTGCCTCTCTCGATCAGAACCACCCCAGTCAGGTCGATTTTCTCTTTTCTCTTTTCGATTCGATCCATCTTTTTGTCTTGAGATGATCTCCACCTCAAGAAACACATTCTCCAGTGTTGCACATGAAAGAAATCAAAAGCCAAACGATGAGTGGGTTCTTCAGGGGAGGTACCTTTTACTCTTTTACTTAGCCTTCAAGATTTTGGTATAATGCATTGTCAGGCGCATTTAGGCAGAGCCAGTCAAGGGGTAAGTGCTGCAAGCTCTCCGGGAAATAGTTCAAGCTAAACCTGAGTTATTTTTGGATAGCTTGCACTGACCCACTCCCGGAAATTTTCCCTAGCCTTTTGCACGTTCTAATTTGCATAAAACTTCGTATATAAAAAGCTTTTCAGCAATTTTTGTGATAAATTTATCACAAAAGCTATTTCTAAACCAAAATAGGAATAAAGAAAAACCTTGAGTTCATTAGGGATGATAAATCTTTGAGTGAAGGTTCGGGGGAAAAGGAGAGAAAAAAGTGGGAACAAAAACGGGGTCAAACCCCTTATGAACTCTGGGATTTGCGATAAAAAGAAAGAGAAATTGTTAAGGAAATGATGAAACTAAAATAATCTATTTAGACGAAAAATATTCTTCAGTTCAATGAATTTTCATTTTTTTTTTAATATAAAGGTGAACACGGGAAACCGATTCTTCCGCTTGATTTGAATTTTCAAAATTTTCGAACTGGTGAGAGAATTTTGCACTTATTGATCTCAAGAAAGTTTATGAATATACTAGGTTTTTAATCTGATAGGTTGACAATGACAGACAAAAATGTTGAGCTCAAAGTACATCTCAAAAATATAAGTACTGAGATCGTAGAAAATCAAGTGATTCTTGTATTTTATGTTGAAAAACAGCAAAAATACAGTATCTGCTAGACTCAATTTTTATTTCTATTGCAGTATTGGATGAAAAATAAAGAATTCAGTACCGCAGAAAGGAGTGTTTAGAAAAATTTAGCACAAAGTGCATACAAAATCATAAATTGCGAAGAAGTTTGTTCTGAAAAATGTATTCAGCTAAGGCCAAACGCTAAGGTCAAATGCTAAGGCCAAATGCTAAGGCTGAACGCTAAGGTCAAATGCTAAGGCCAAACGCTAAGGCCAAATGCTAAGGCCAAATGCTAAGGCCAAACGCTAAGGCCTAAACTTCGTTTATAAAGGCTTATTTTGTTTTGATATTTAATCAAAAATGGTACCCCATTGTGGATATGATTCGGAACACAGAAAAAGTATAAACTTGAAAAAAGAATCAGAATCAAACATGTGACCTCAATGATCTTTTCTTTCTTTCTTTCCTTGTCCTTTCATTCAATTGCTCTCTCATTTGCCGATAATGGATCTCATTTTTACATGTACATATGTGGCGAATCTAGAAATCCGTCCGATCTAGACTGATTCTAGATCGGACGTCCGATCTAGAGTGAAGTGTGGTCAAGAGTCTGACCTAGAGTCAAGACGATCACTTTAAATCTAAGTCTTGATCAGACGTCTCCTTTAGGGTGATCGTCTTGATTCTAGGTCAGACTCTTGACCTCACTTCACTTCTAGATCGGATGTCCGATCTAGAATCAATTTAGATCGAACGGATTTCTAAACCGGAAACACATACAAGAAATGTAAATCTTGTAAAAACCTCTAATAAACAACTCACAAACGCAAAAGTGTATTTGAGCAAAAAGAAAAAGATTATTGCAAGGCGGCGGGGTCGAACCAGAGACTAAAAAGGCGGCATGCTAGCAGTATCAACTAGGCCACGAGTTGACATTTAGGAACCACTGAAAGTCAATATGGTGCTGGGTTGAGATTCTGATGTAAACCTTAGATCTAATCTCGAGATTTTAACACCTTCATCCCAAATGACTTAGATATGCGAAATCAGCGCCAAAAACTGCCATAGAAAAGTTTATCTCGGCCCGAAAGGCACGTGCAAATCTGAAAGCATCCCTAGTAAGGTCAAAACATTTATAAAGGCTAATTTGATTTGATGTTTAGTAAAAAATGGCATGCTATTGTGGACATGATTCGGAAAAACAAAAAAAGTATGGAAATTGACAAGTAAAACTTGAAGCAAAAGAATAAGAATCAAACAGGTGACATCAATGATCTTTTCTCTCCTTTCTTTCTTTCCTTTTGTCCTTTAGTTCAATTGCTCGCTCGTTTGTCGATAATGGATCTGATTTTTACACCCCAACACACCGCACACAACACCCTACCAATCACAAGTCACTACCAAATAACAATAAGATGAAATTAAAGCTTGTACATAAATAATAAAGTAAAGTAATCAAAAAGAAAGATTTTCAGAGAGGGGATTCAACTCTCGACCGTTTTTGCTTTCCTTTTTGCTTTTTGCAAATGCTCTAACCATTGAGCTATTCGTAATCTTCTTCCCAGAGAAGAAAAAGGAAATACAAGGGGGAAGAGAAAGAAAAAAAAAAGAAAGAGAACGCAAGAACACTTTATAAAACAGCAGAGTAGTAAACTTTAGCCTTGTCAAAAAGATTGAAGCTTTGGAGATCAAGTAGCCCATTGACTGGCATAGCCAGAAGCAAGGACTGTGCTAAGCTGTAATTTTCTTCCGACTTTTGCAAATTTTAAGCATTTTAACTTCAAAACACACTTGGGAAAAAATACCGTAGTGAAAATTATTGTAAAAAATTGGCGCGAAAAAGTGCAGCAAGTAAATGAGTGCAGATTTGAGGTGCAAGTGGATAATGCAAGAATGTGATTTATTGGGTTGGTGAATTGAACTTTGAACTAAAATTTATTGAACATAAAACCATCAACTCGTCCCAAATGATTTCCATTATTATTGGCGACTTCTGCTCAGGCAATTTGCGGATTCCTCTTTCGTAGGATTTTGGTTTGTGTGTGAGACAAGTGTGAGACTCAAGAATCGAGGACTGGAGATGTCCCAGTTTGAGCACTTTCTTCAAAAGAAATCCATTTTGGTGTCAATAGAAAAGTTGTAGAGAATCAAAAATTAGGCTTATAGCCAAATTTCCAAAAAGATACACTTAGTAGTTTCGCTTAAAATGCAAGTTTTGTTGCAAGTTTTGTGAAAATTCGTAAATTTGGCATTTCTTGAAAATCAGTTTTTGAATCGTTCTGAAAATTTGGATATAAGCTTGATTTTTGATTCTCTACAACTTTTTCATTGACACCAAAATGGGTTTTTTTTGAAGAAAGTGCTCAAACTGTCACATATGACAATAGCCCGCAGTTTTCAATTCACCAACACAATAGATAAGTAATTCATGATTCAAAGATAAAAAAAACTTCATTCCGGATAAATTGGAATAAAATTACCCACCGGACTGATATTATCGTATTGCTCGATTGGGGTATTGCGATGAATCTCTTCAGCTTCGGGTGGGGGACTCGGGAAACGTGTGGGTCGCGGAGAGCGGAGTGACGCGTTCTCAGCATTTCCATCAAGATCACGGGGAGTTTTGCGGCTGAAATTTTAGTATCTTTGTCTTGCAGACTTGCAGTTTTCTTCTGTTTTGTGAATAAAATACAAAGCTCTTCTTTCTGCTGGGCAATTATACAGATGGGGCAGGGTTTTTGCAACCGCCTCAAGGCATCAATGTTAGTTCCAACAACTATCTCAACATACTTAAGCAAGATCTTCTTCCGTGAGCCAAAAATCACTTGGGAACAGGATTTGGTATTTCATTTAGGATGATACTGATGCTCACAAAGATCGAGTGGTTCAGGACTGGCGCAAGCAGCATATTCCCAATTTGACCACTTTTAGTGGCCACTGTCAAGTCCGATGGATTTCAGTGTTTGGGTTGTTCATGAAGTAAAAACGTGATCAAAACCGCATTCCAGCATCGATTTGCTTAAGAAATCTCTTCAAAAGCAAAAAAAACACGATCCCGCTTACCATTTGGCTACGGTGGATTCATTTCCTAAATGTCACCAGGCCCGCCTGCCCATAGAAATCTTTTTAAAAGCAAGTAGCTTTTCCTGTTTAATAATATCTTTAAAAATCAATTGTTTAAGGTTTTTTAAAATAATTTCTCTTTTATCGGTTTCTATCTTAAGAAAATATTCGTTGCAATGATCCTGCCGCACTCTGTATTTAGACTGGGCTTAATCAAACTTGTTCGGGTTTAAAAAAATCAATACTGGGCTTAGTCAAAGTTGTTTAGCTTCAAACAATCAAGACTGGGCTTAATCAAACTTGTTTAGGTTCAAACAATCAAGTCTAGGCTTAATCAAACTTGTTTAGGTTCAAACAATCAAGACTGGGTTTAATCAAACTTGTTTAGGTTCGAACAATCAAGACTGGGCCTAATCAAAGTTGTTTAGGTTCAAACAATCAAGCCCGGGCTTAATCAAACTTGTTTAGGTTCAAACAATCAAGTCTAGGCTTAATCAAACTTGTTTAGGTTCAAATTAGTGATGAAATTGATTTTGCTTTGGTGATTTCTAATAGGAAACCAAAATATCATTCCAATCTAAAAATTTCAAAAGCGGATTTACCCGGATCGGGGTGTTCTCGGGGATTGGATGATTCCAAGGGGGATTCGCGGTGAAGGAGGTTTTGTATCTGAAAAACAGATTATAAAAAGTTATTGGAAAGCTGAAGCTTACAAATTATTATTCAAAATTATTACTAAAGTGATTATTATAATTATTATTATGATTATTATTATCATTATTATCATTATTATTATTAGAAAATTATTATAGACTTCAATTTCTTTACCTGGAAAAACAGCTGGTTGTGTACACGAATCAGCCTTCGTTTCCTCTAACGAGTCAAGATTCTTCAGAAACTCTTCCTCATCATCAAGCTGACTCAAATCGAGTTGAAAATCCTGAAATCTTTGCAAATTGGTGAATTGAATTTGTGAATTTGGTTGGTGAATTGAAAACTGCCGGCTATTGTCATATGTGACAGTTTGAGCACTTTCTTCAAAAGAAACCCATTTTGGTGTCAATGGAAAAGTTGTAGAGAATCAAAAATCAAGCTTATATCCAAATTTTCTGAACGATTCAAAATCTGGTTTTCAAGAAATGCGAAATTTACGAATTTTCACAAAACTTGCATTTTAAGCGAAACCACTAAGTGTATCTTTTTGGAAATTTGGCTATAAGCCTAATTTTTGATTCTCTACAACTTTTCTATTGACACCCAAATGGGTTTCTTTTGAAGAAAGTGCTCAAACTGGGACATCTCAAATTGGGACATTTTTGAGTCTCACACTTGTCTCACAAACAAACCAAAATCCTACTACGAAAGAGGAATCCGCAAATTGCCTGTAAAATGGGCAGAAGTCGTCAATAATAATGGAAACTATTTGGAATGAATTTATGGTTTTATGTTCAATAAATTTTAGTTCAAAGTCCGGCAGTTTTCAATTCACCAACCTAATATCTATAATTGATTGATATTGATAACAAATTGATATTCCGATTGACATTGATATAAATTGTAAATCAAATTTTGACTTTGATTCTGTCTTTGATATCTTTGATGTCTTTGATTTACAATTTATAAATCGAATATCAATTTGCCCATTTCACACCTGATTCCCCATATTCTTCCGTCTTTTCTTTAAGAGTCGAATCACTCGCAAATTGAACAGAAAGTTGTCAATGGACGAGCTGGTAATCTGAATGTAAATAGTTTTTATGAAACCAACGATTTTACCAACCTTAAACTTGTACTTTGAGGTGTTTTTGGACATAAAGAGCTTGGAATTGATGAAGGGGGTGCGATGAATTTGATTCTCCTGGGAAATTAAATAAAGAAACGATCTATGAAATAAAGAAACGAACGGATAATGACAAAAATATCGACAAAATCGAATCAAATCAATTTAAATTTTGACTATAACATTCTCAAAGCAAATATTGGATTGGCAAGAAAGTCTTTGCACAGGTTTGAACTGAAATTTTTTTAAAAACAAATCCACCAATTCAACAACATTTTCTTCTATCATTTACAAGTCGACTCGAAGAAATTAGTTGTAAAAAATGACTGCAGCTTTCCATTAAAATTCAGAGATTTCAAAAAAGTCTTATTTTCCAGCCTAAATTCAATTCAATTCACCTACCTTTTGCATCACAAAGCGATTCTTTATGGGGTAAATCTAACATAAATGAGCAATACGCTGAGCTAAATATTTAAATTCACCGTATTTAAATTGGTAATTCTGAAAAGTTAAAGCATTAGATAAAATTTTGCTTTAATCCCAAATTTTTCCGGTTTTAAGTAGTTTCCCGTTTGATCTTACGAGGGAATGACCTCAACTCAAAGTTTGGAATCGATCCGGAACCAAGTGGATCTTATAGAATCGACAACGGAGATTCATAATCTGCAAAAATTAGCTGCCCACTCGACCTGGATATATTTTGATTTGAAAGTTTTTCAATAAAACAGAAAATTTCATTGGTGCTTGGTACTCTTGGCCATAAAGGCTTTCTTAAAGCAAGTCGGCGTCCACTATAAGGTCCGCTTAGTTCACTATAAGGTCCACTTGGTTCACTATAAGGTCCACTTGGTTCACTATAAGGTCCATTTGGTCCTCTATAAGGTCTACTTGGTTTCGGATCGATTCCCAACTTTGAGTTATGACCATTCCCTTGTAAGAAGCCTTGTGGAAGTGGCAGCATAATGCTCAAAGCTTGATGTATGAGTTCTGGGAACTTTTAGCTGATCGTTATCTTCTTTAGCTCGTTATATTAAGTTGTCTTATTGTATTCTTGTTGATAATGCTAATTTTATTTTATAAATGTTGTTACCTAAAAGAAAACGAGCAATTTTGTGATGTGGAACATAAGTGGAAACACTTGGACTCTTGGCTATAACACTTGACTCTTGGCTTCCCTGAAGAAATTTCTTATTTTTTACCTGAACCCTTTGATTTTTCAGCAAAAATTTTTTGAAATAAATTCAAGTTTAGCAAAAAAATTTGGGAAGAATTCATGGCTTAGTTTTTGAGAAATCACGGCGCAAACTTTTTCTACGAACTTTTTGGTCAATCTAATACATTCCTATTGGAATTGAGAGCAAGCGAAAAACGAAAACAAGCGTATTAATAGATATCGCATAATAATAATAGATAATAATAGCGTAAAATGTAATAGAAAGAAAACAAGGGATGAGTGTAAAATGATAAAGTGAGAACTGATGAACATTTCATATTCTAGACACAGGAGTTGGGAAATTGAGGGAAATGGAAGAAGGGTGGAGAAAAGGTAGTCAATAATGCACACACACACACACACACCAATGGACACCCGATGGAGCCCTTATTCCCATAAGGAAAACGGGAAGGGGAAGGATCTCATCCGAGCCAGGTGCAACCATCATTTTCCACCCTTTCCTTAAAGAGTAAGATTTGAAAGACAAAAAGAAACAAATTTAGATTTAAGCGTTTGACTCATCTTTAAAATTCGGTGGATATTCTGAAGCTCTGGAAGCCAGGGAAGTTTAGTAAGTTGTGGAGTAGTTTGAGGTGTACTTTGTGCTCGAAAATTTGGATCCTCTGGCGCATTCAGTATTGATTTTCAAAAGATTGAGTACGCCAGAAATATAGCATTTACATGTTTCAAAAAAAGCTTCAAACTTCATGAATCTCTAACAATAAGTGAGTCCTAGAATCTCGAAGCTTTATTATGCTTTTAAACGCATCTTTTTGTACTTTTTAAGGGGTTTTTTAAATGATTTGGCTTGCAGATTTGGCCTGACGTGCAAATTAGTCAAAAGTATCCTTTTGGCATTATTTAGAAGGTAAAGAAGTAGTTTAAAAAAGGTTATTCTTGAGTTGAATTTTGGAACTTGAATTAATTGAATATAAAAAATATCAGATTCAAAAATGTGAGTCCCTTAGATAATTTGCAAGACAAGTTGAGCTAAAACCTTTGAAACTTGTAAAAATTGTATACAATTTAGTCGAATACAGTTTAGAATCAAACTTTAGTATATTCATATGAAGAGGGATTTATGTCTGAACCGCCGCCCCTTTCATTTTCTTTCATTTTCTCTGTCCCCTCTCTTTTTCTCTTTTCGACTCTCTCTGTGCACCATGACGACCCGCCATGAGCCGGCGGCCCATAAAAGAGAGTGCTCTCATATTTTTTGCAAAGATTGAGTGAGATTTCTGAACGTTTATTCAATATGAAAATGTACTTAGCCAATAACATGACCATTCTAAAAGCTAAAAGTTGTCTAGCCAATCCAGATCAGACAAAAGCCAAATACAAAACCAGGATTTTTAAAGGGCTTTTGATCAATGATGAATGGAGAACGATAAAGCAGCAAGACAACGAAGGAGTGAAGAAGTACGATGAGATTTCTCGGAGGAAAAGACTTCTAGCGAATTCGAGACATTCAGTGCGGGATGAGAGGCCGATTGAATAAAAGCATCAGTCCTATTTTGCATTGTACCCCTTTTGTATTTGGCTGTATTCGGCTTAAAAGTTGTTTTTCAAGAATCACGGTCATCTATATATTATTCGATGCGTTTTAGTCTCCTCTACAACCATTTTCTATATGAAAAACAAGGTTTCCAATCGAGAAATAAGGAAAAACGCCATTTTTGCTTTCCGCTTCACCCTAAAACGTGGATATTTAGGCGAAAAGTATATAAAAGTTACGTTCAATTGCATTTTAGCACTTACGTTCTTTTCTTTTGCTTGTATTTTCTCAAATTTAGCAACAATCTTAAATATTTTTTTAATAGAAAACATTATATTCTAAATGAATCATTGAAAAAAAGGTGAAAATCAGACCTAAGACGTGAAAAACGGGTGCCGAATTTAACACTGATTTTCCTTAGACCGGAGTACCCCTTTAAGGAGAACACGACCGGTCACTTGAATGCCATTTATTTGTTGACGCGTATAGCATATGGCGCGTCCGTTTAACGATAAAATGCGTCCGTTTAAAACGTTCAGATCGGATCCGGACGTCCGTTTACGAACAAAGGTTCAGATCGGATGCGGACGTCCGTTTACGAACTAACGTTCAGCTCCGATCCGGACGTCCGTTTAGGAACAAACGTTCAGCTCCGATCCGGACGTCCGTTTACGAACTAACGTTCAGCTCCGATCCGGACGTCCGTTTAGGAACAAACGTTCAGCTCCGATCCGGACGTCCGTTTAGGAACAAACGTTCAGATCGGATGCGGACGTCCGTTTACGAACAAACGTTCAGATTGGATCCGGTTTAAATTGTTTTTTATTTTGTTATTATGTGGGGGTGGGACAAATTTTTTTTTTTGCGCACCAGGACATTTGCGCACCTTTTTTTTTGCTGGAAAAGGGGGGAGCTTCGAAAATATTTCCTTATAAGGGAATCGTATGCGTAGATTCCGAATTTCGACAAATCAGACCTCGCTGACACGTCAAATTTGGGCTAAAAGGCTTTTAAACCAGACCAAACTCGTTAAGATTGGTTAAGTTTAAGACGATTCTCCCAGCAAATCCGCCATGACTTATTGGCCACCCTAATATTTCATTGCCAAAGATCGCTAATATTTCATTACCATTGCCAACTACAGCGGATGTTGCTTGGAAGAGTCTGGTTAATAACTGTTTTATGGCTCTTGGTTGTAAAAAGTTGAGAGTGACAAACTGTTATATGGTAATGCAAAAAAGGGAAAGCGTAGAAATGATGAAGAAATCAAAGATTAAAAGTCATTCTTCATCTACATATAAATCAAATGAATGCAACCAATTGTTGTTTTTAAGGTTATAAAGAGAAAATGGGAAGTGCGCGTTTTCCGCTCAACTGAATATCCAAAAGCTGGCCGTTTTTCATAAAGAAATCACTTTTTACGAAAATTCCCCGAAAAATCACGCACTCCCATCATTTCAATCAGAAAGCGCTTGTTCTTTGAGCAATAGCTCTCAGAGAATTAATTCAAATGAGTGAGCAAGAAAAGAGGGTTGTGGCTTGTGAGATAAGAAAACTTGTTCAAAAATAGATATGAAGAATCGACAGCCTTTTTGTTTTATTGAGATTGAACACTTTTTTAAACACTTTTTTATTTCAGGGTTTTATCTTGCAGACAAAACGTGCGTACGGATCACGGCCGTTCGACGATAGAGGAACCCAATATTTTGGATAGAAGCAAGATTGATCGTTCCCCATCTGAATAAAATGTATTGCAATTTGAAGAGTGTCTCAGCGGTTACTCACCACCCAAAATGATGGACTACTAACGGCTCCCCACATATATCCATTGTAATCCATTCGTGTTCGATCAGTCCACGTGCTATTGTCGCCCAAAATTCCTTGTCCATAATAACCAATCCAGGCCCATTGCCAGTTGCACGGAAGTCCTGCTGCTGTTGTGTCGTTCGCTACGTTTGACGCGATCAGGTCTGAACTTCAGTTTAGTGCAAAGTTCACAGCTTCAATGCTTGCACAATCACAATGTTAGAGTCGGATCTATCAAGTTCAATAAAGCTCAAAGACTTTGAAGTATACATAGGCTTTTTGTAGAAACGAGTCAGTCCCACGTTTTAGCAAACAGCTCTTGTTTTCTAAAGCTCGAAAAGCATTGTATCCAGTCTTAGGATTGTATTCACTCTTAGGGTTGTATCCACTCTTAGAAAACCAAAGCTTTTTGCGAGAACGTGGAACTGACTCGTTTTCTACAAAAAGCCCATGTCTATTTTGATGGTACACTTTGAACTCTACCAGAGAGCGCTTAAAGTTTGAAAATGCCATTTAAAGCTCGCTTCTTGGCTACAATCCTCTCACCAAAGACAAAATCGTCTTCAGCTTTTGAATGAATCGAAACAAGATGAGCTTTCATTCCCTGGCACAGCGACTCTGCGGTTGTCCAGTTGTAGAGCTGCCAATGAATACCATCTGAGTAGGTGAAATCCTAAAAACTTTGGAATTCTCAATTATGACTCTTACGCCGTCCATTTTACCTACCAAGTTTGCATTTAAAGTTACCCGCTTTGCCCATCATAATTGCGTTTAAAGAGGCAATTTCCACTTAGTTTTTCACATGATCTTATCGCAAAGAACATGAATCTGACTCGTAAGAATGTAGTGGATGATAATAGTGGTATGCAAAATAAGTGATAAAATCCAAAATGGGCGGTCTAAGAGTCACGAATTCGCCATAGCGTGACTTGTGACTCTTGCAAAATGATTTTTGATACAAAGTGAGCGACGTAAGAGTCACAAGTAACAAATTCTCTGTATTCTCGACAGCTCATTGATAAAGATAATCGAATGCCCACTTGCAGATAGTAGCAAAACCCGGTTTCGTTAAAGTACTTCCATCCCGGTGAGCAAGTGGGAGCTGAAATTCTCTCTTATTCATTTGCAAGCTCTTCAGCAAACTTTTTTCAGTTTCAGAAGAACAAAAATACGGACGAGCCACTGAGCAATCGCTCGTTTTCCATTGGCCGTTTGATGGATCCATTACAACACAAACGTTTCCGAGTTTAGGCTCGTCTAAAATTGATAAGGATGAATATGACTCGAATATTCTTTAACACAGGAAAATAAAAACAAATTTAAGGAAAAAATTCTTCCCAAAAATTTCATTTTGTTAAATCTACCAATTGGAACTCGTGTTTAATAGGTCTAAACTTTTAAATTTAGTGAAAATCGTGAGATCTAAAATCAAAACGAAATTCGAGGAAACAATTCGAGGAAAACAAGTGATAATCTATGCTAATAAAATCCTGACCTTGAGCCCAATTACTATAGGTGAGCGGTGTGCCATCGGAATAGATCCAGGTGCCATTTCCATTGGGGCTTCTTTCGACGCCAATGTATGGAGAAATTTGGGAAAAGTCTAAAAATATAGAAATCTAGATTTACTCTAGAAAAGAAAGAAATCTAGATTTTTCTCTTCATTTATTGAATTCAAAAAGTACTTGATTGCGCCAATTTAATGAAAGTGAAACTATTCTCGAGAGCGTTTCCAATCTTCACCACCGAGCCACCTTTTTTGAAACAGTCACGCAACGCTCCCGAATAGAATTGATCTGAAAAGGGAGGAGTATCTAATAAATGGAGATTCGTTTAGAATTTTAAGATTTTTTCTGTTTATCATGAATCGGGTCTGTGGAAATTGGGGTTGATGAGCGATTTTCACTCACCAATTGCTTGATTTTCACTCAGTTTTAGCTTTTCTAACGCCTATTTAGCATTTTTAAACGTTCCAGAGCTCTTTAAACTTAAAGGTTTTGAGAACTCTCAATTTCCAATTTCAATTAGTAGTTGCAAGCAATTTGCCCTTGAAATTCGTCATTTGCTTTTGAGAGGTTGGAAAGATTTTAGCCGTGTGGTTAACAGTTTTAACCAAAGAACAAGGTTTTGATCCTGGTTACGGAAAAATGTGTCTTTAGTCTCTCTTTCTTCTTTTCTTTCTTTTCCTTGTCTTTTTTATTGGGCAAAGATGCCGCAGAACGCTCTGGGGTAAGCAGAAGGTCGAGGTCTGCAAGGGCAGAAGATCTGCTCGGTAAGCAGAAGATCGAGGGTTCGATTCCCCTCGGTTTCAAATTCTTTCCCATTCATCTCCTTACTTTATTAAGTTCTGTCTGTTGTATTGAATGTAATCAAGCCAAATGATAGACTTTTCTTCACTACTTTCTATGCACTACAGTATACAACATCGACAACAGCAAACTAACTTTCCCCAATTGTGTAGAGACATTTGTTCTCTTGCGGGAATTGCTCTGAACCAGATGAGCAGGAAAATGAATGCACTGAAGAAAATAAGACCAATATTTCCAAGACGGCAAAAAGCATCGTTTCGAAAATGGATCAAAGGAAAGTTTTGCGCCTTTTATTTACAAGAATCTTATCAAAAATTGCTGTCTGACGGCTTTTATCTATCGAAAATTCTTTTAACTTCGAGAAAATTAGTCTAAAAGCATAGCTGGGAAATTCTTTCGAACATTTTATCTCAGATCGAATCATTTCCGTTTCAAAGGTAATTTTGGTTCGACTTTTCTAGCCTATTAACGATAAAGACATTTTTGGTGTGTCACTATTTCAGTTAACGACTTCTGAATGTGTTAAAACTGTGCCTTCACAAAGTTTACAATCTCAGGGTTTCGCCGAAAATTTAAAGTAAAAAACGGGTGGTTTTTCTAGAGTGCAAGCTGTAAAACAGAATAAAGCATAAGAAAATAAAAATAGAATGATAAATAGATTTTGGTTGAAGCAACGAGGAAATGGTGATCGGAAACATTGCTAGTCGATTGAATATGAACACGGGAAAAGGCTTGCCTTGTGGTCGATCAACTCCCAGTGAATCTAACAATGAAAATAGCTTCAACCGTTCTTAGGGCTTGTTTATTATTTATTCGGGTCAACCTCCCTAATCATTAAATCATTAAATCATTAAACCAAATCATTAGTATCATTAAAAGCGGCTCGTTGAGTCCCATAAGACTATAAAAAGCCAGTGATTAAATTTCGACTTGAGAACAGAGTGCAGATGTGGAAAAGTAAAGTCCGGAGTGAAATTGGCAATATATTTGAAAAAGCTAAAGCCATTGGGCGAATGTACAGGGTGTCCAAAAATTACCCAAACCAATAAAACTCATGGTTTAAAAACCTTTTCATCAAAAAAAACAAAAATTAACATTAACAAATTTATTCTCTAGATTGCTTTCAACAATTTGGTTTATTTCTTCTCGAAAATATCTCCATTGGCAGCTGCACAAGCCGCGAGACGCTTTGGGAAGAATGGTGGCCAAAAGATACGCAGGGTTGAGTTCAGTCCAAGCTTTCTGGAGTGATTTTTTTCAGTGAATCAATGCTTGAATGTGCCTTTGAGCAAAACTTTGCTTTGATAACACTCCAGACTGAGTGATTCATCGGATTTACGCTATTTTTGTATTGAAGAAACAGTGAAAAGCTTTTCCTAACACTTTTTAATAGAGAAAAGCGACCAAATGACAGATTCGCCGGAGAGATGTCGACTAGCGGTCATTCAAGCGCTTGTTAAAAGAGTTGTATAAGTCCAATTGGAAAATGTTTAGTAGCTAAATGTTGCAGAGAGCTAGGGCTACAATTCTATATATAACACTTGCCACTTTTGAAATAAATTAGACATTTCCCAGCTGCTTTTTCAAAAAGCTATACATTAACAAATTTATTCTCTAGATTGCTTTCAACAGTTTGGTTTATTTCTTCTCGAAAATATCTCCATGGGCTGCACAAGCGGCGAGACGCTTTGGGAAAAAGTTGTTTCAAGGATTTTATTACAATTCTAACTTTCGTATGTAAATTGCGTGGATGTAAAAGCAAACTCATACTTTTCTTTTGTCTCATTATAATACTTCTCCTTAAAGCGTGGATTGAGCGCAGTAGCAATGATGAGATGATCCTCTTTATAGTCCAGGCCTTACCCCTTTTGATTTTCATCTTTTCCAGAAGCTAGCTGCAGAACTTATCAATGCTCACTTCGAAGACCGAGCTGAGGTCGAAAACTGGCTCCATGGTTTCTTCGCCGGCCAGCCAAAGAATTATTATTTTATTTTATTTTATTTTAAGATATTTTAAGAAAGAAATACAGACAAATTTCGATCAATTTGACTCAAAAATGTTTTTGCGCACGTGAATCCAAGGATTTTTTTTTAACGGGGGAACTTGCCCTCCAAAAAATAGGAACACGGAACACTCTTTTTCAATTAAGTGATTTCCCCGTTCTCTTTTTCCCATTGATAAAGTTTTTCAGTTTTTTCAAGGGTTTTTTCTCTTTTTCTCAAGAAAACTGGATCGTTTTTCCTAATGCGACCAGGAACTGATGATGGGAAAAAACAAGGAACCAAATGAACTTGGGATAGGATAAAAGGAGCTTTCCCGGGTCATTTTGGAAAGCAATTTTGAGCTGATTCTTTGATTTAACCTTTCTGATCGTCTATAAACTTCTAAAACTTCATTTTTGAAAAATGAGACTAATATTCGCGTTTACCCTATTCTTTATGACCGTCCTCTGTGGAGTGATGTGAGTTACCACATTATTGCAAAGAGCTCTTAGCCAAGAGCTAAAAGATTATTGTAAATTTAAAGTTAAGCTAGTTTCTCTAAAAGACATCTAAAAGATCTAAAAGACAAAAAGTGTGAAAAATTCTTTGTAAATCGATCCTAATCAATTGCAACATCAACATCAACATCAAAGCGATCATGAAAACGATATTGAACCTCTGGGTTGATAAACAGACGCTTTAATCATTAAGCCAATCCTAAAATCGTAGATTTTTAAAAGAAGAACTTGTAAGAACTCGTAAGAATTGCAAGAATTGAATCTGTGCCTATAGATTGCAAGGTCTTATCCAAGTCTCCAATTCAATAGCTTTAATCTTAGCAGAGTTGAAAATCACTTTCATAACTCGTTATTGCCAAACCCGGCCATAATTAACTTTATAGACCATCCAAATAACAAAACTATCAACTCAATGCTTTTTTAAAAAGAAAGCTGGATCTTTTTATTTATAAAAACCCGCATTTTAGCCCAACTCATCAACGACACCGAAGGCAATCGTTAGACTCCTTTGGGTCATTTGGAGCCCAATCGATGAGCGGAGGTGATCAGATGAGCCAGATGTTCCAGCAACAACAACAACAACAACAACAACAACAACGGATGCAATTCGAGAATCAATTGATGACAAACCTGTTGAGGTTCATCGAGAAGTACAACGCCGAGAACAAGAATCGACTGTAAATTTGTCAATTTTTGCTGATTTTCATTGATCTCCGTGAGCTTTGATTTGTACATAAACATTTATACCTCAACATTTTTAACCTAAAATTTAGAAAAGACAAAACTGTGGGAGCAAATGCTTTTGAATCATGGAATTATAGCAAAAAAAGATATTTAGAGTATAACGGTTAGCAAATTAAAGGGGGAGGGGGTGCAGGACCCGGTTTCATCACCGCTTAGTCACTGACTAAAGCAAAGTCAGTGACTTAAAATGCTTAAGTCACCATCTCACCACCAATTTAGGACCTAGTCTTTAATTTTCCGCGAAGTCACTGACTATGGAAAAGGCGTTACTATGGAAATCGCTAAGTCAGCTAGGGAGCTTCTCCTAGAGATGACTTAACGGAAATTATGGCTTCTCTTCACCGCAAGACAACAACAGCTTGATAAAAGAAGTTTCCAGCAATCCAACATCAATCGGAGAACTTAAATTTATCGATGCTTTAAAAAGATAACAAAAAATAATAAAGGCATTGGTCATATAGAACAGTAAAGTGCCTAAATGGCAGAACCAAACAGTATTAAAATAACAAAAAAGGACATCAAAAATAGTGTGAAACAACAAAACTTTGAGAAGCACTATCTTTAGAAATATTTGGATCGGGATCCCTTGTATCTTGTTGCCTTCAATGGTAATGAAATGATGTCTTATCTTTTAAGTCACTGACTTTGCGCTAAATCGGTGACTTAAAGATTTTGGCCAAGTTAGTGACTTAAGAATTTTTGCTAAGTCGATGACTTAACTAAGTCAGCCCCTTAGCAAAAGTTGCTAAGTCACCACACTCTAAGTCACTGACGTAAAATGGCGGTGAAACTGGGCTCAGATCGCGGCCGAGTCTTAATCAAAATTTTTTACGCCAACCCTATGTTTTTGCTTTATACGGTAATAATAATGTGATAAGTAATAAAATATGTTGAATTTGAATATGTTTATTGGAAAATAGAATCAGAAGAGGCTTTAGGGGAAAGACCGAAATTTGTCATCGTGGAATTCGATTAGATCTTTAAGCAAAGTTCACGTTGTTGATCTTCACGGATTTTGATTTCAGACAAGAGATGAACTCTTTCAACTAAACGAAAACTCCTTAACATAGCGATTAATGATCATTTTTTTTATTAGTAATTTAAGAATCAGCTATTAATCAGCTATTAGTAATCAAGTTATTTTTTCTAGAGCTTTCTATTATAGATGTTGAGAAAGTTGCTCGGTAATTTCATTTCCACAAGAGTTTTGTTTACATTTCAAATTAATTCGCAAGCAATAAAATGCAAAACCTTGCAGGGAATTTCGAGAAAGAACACATGGTATTTAATTGAAGCTTTTAACTCAAAAGCTTCACAACTTGGCGTATAATGATCATTTCATTACCTCGACTTGAATTTACCTACTTTAGCTGACATTGAAATAAGACAACTATTGGAAAGCTTTCTTATTCTCATTGATTACCACAAAAATCATCCAGCTAAAGTAAGATGCAAGTGTCAAGAGTGTGGTAGGCTTCGAAAAGGAGCACCTTGTTTCTCGACAAACGAAACATCTCTAGTGAAAAGGACTTATTATATCATGATCTTATTATAGCCTCTATTATAGCCTCTATTATAGTAATCTATTCTAGCTTTTGCTTTTTTGACTACCGTTATGAATGTATGATCAACAAAATTGTTCTAACGTAAATAGCACACACGTGAGAAGAAAGAGATTGAATTATCGGCCCGTTTTTGCAACTGTTTCCTCCTTTTCTTGCTTTTGAAAGCCTTTTCATAGCTTTCTTTTCTTGTTTGGCACATTTTTTGCATTATGATGTCACTAGAAAATTTACCATTATGGCAAAGATTTCATGAGCCAATTATTGTGATCATCATCACGACGTTTCTCTTTAGTGAGTTTCCCTGGCTCTTTTTAACGTCTAACTACAACGTAAACTTTGCTATAATGCAACCAGTTTGGTTCTATTAACAAAATAAATAGAAGGAAAATATAAAAGTTGCTTTTTTCTTTCCTTCTTTCTTTCTTTCTTTCTTTCTTCTTCTCCCTTGTCTTTCCCTCTTTCTCTTGGTAAGTTAAGGGACCGGGTAGCTTAGTGGTTAGAGCAATTCCCCGGAAAGTAAAAGATCGAGGGTTCAATCTCCTCTCCGGAAATCTACCTTTTCTTTTCAATTCTTTCACTTCTTTATTAGCTATTTACCTCGCTCTCGATATCGCCTTTCATTTGCCGACTTTCGGACCAATCTCAAATCAGACGGATATCAGCGCTGATGTGTACCAATTCTACTGGGGGTATCATCGAACAAACAGCACTCGGGGGTACGTTCATTCTGATATAATTACTATCATCGGGCACATATACTAGGGAGTCCGAACTATAGTATGCACAACCTGTGACATTCGCAGTCCCTCCTGAGCCTGTCCAAGTTGGTCTCTCAACTATGATAGATTTCTTTTCCTCCCCACTCGATAACATGAAAGTACCGTTTAAAAACACTTTTAAAAGGTTCAGTTTCTCCCTCCTCAGTCTGATCTCAACCCCGTTGGCCTCTCTCTTGCCATCACAAATGATCGATTGTCGATGCCAATCCGGTTTTTATTGATCAATTCTTCTGTAATCTATTTTCAGTTTGTTGGCTTGTGCGGCAAATGTGAACAAATTCTTCTTCATTCTCTTTTATTCATCTTTCCTCATGTGTGATCTCAACACTTCATGGCTTCAGTAAGTGAAGCTAAGAGCTTGAGATTTATGGGATATTGGGGAAATTTTCTGCTTGTTTAGGGAAGTCCCCTAGATAGGTTCAAGAGGTGCTATAGGATCTAGATAGGTTCAAGAGCTGCTACATGGGTCAGGCGGTGTACTGGAGAATTTTCAGCTACATCTGCTTCCCCTAAACCTGCCCAAGTTGGTGTCCCAACTAACTTTATCCGAAAAACTTTTGAAGATATTATGGGAAGCTTCAGGTGTTCCCCCGAGGTTCACAACACCACCGCGTCGCTTTCGGACTTCGTGTTGGAATACGGTCTCTTTGATATGGCTCAATATTGTCAGTTCATGCTGTCAATGAGGTACTTTGTGCAATACCCATAACATTAACGGATTATATGTATTTAAAGAGAAAAATCTCTAAATAGCAACTTAGGCAACAGGCTTTGGTTAGGCAACAGGCTTTGGTTAGGCAACTCTACGTGGAGTATTGAAGCTTGTACAATTTCAATTCTCCTACCAGTTATAGAAAAGGCTAGAGTTTTTATCAAAACGATAAAATTGCCATCGTTTCTAGCCGTTTCTTGGCCGTTTCCTTTTCGGGAACTCTCTTCCGTCACACCCAACGATGGCCGTTCGCTCAATTGCTCGTTCCCTATTTGTTGAGAGCTATCATCCAGGCGGCATTCTACCCGTTCACGCCAACATTCGACACTCAGGCCTATTGGGTGAAAAACTATGTGGCATCATTTCCGTATTTCCTGAACTGTGGCCTCGATTTCGTCACGAATTACAATATGAAACATGTATGTTACAAAAGTTAAAATATTGTTAGGTTAATAACCTACCGTAAATACTGTAATAGTACCCCACCCCCATAATGACGGTGCGGAGTTTGGCGTAGTCTAGCTTTGAACGAGTTTTTCTCGATACTGGTTTATGCTACAAAGCGCGCTTAGGTATCAAAAAATAGCCCTGAATTTCAGCTATTTTTTGATACCAAAGACGCATTTTTTGAAAGTACGGGCGCTTTGAAAAAAAAATGAAATACTAAAAAACTTTGCGACTACCCGACTGTACGAGGGGGGTGCGGTACTATTAAAGTATTTACGGTATCTATTTATCTTCCATTTATGATCTCGATTTCTATTTATGTTGTTATGTTAAAATGAAGAAGAAAAGATAAAGCATGTTCTCCTATAAAAAATAGATGTATAAAGTTAATCTTATATTTCACGTTTAGCGTCGAAAAAGCGGAGCCAGTCGTGCTGAAAAGCTCTTAATGATAGAGGTGATGAGCTTTTATCATTAAGTCTTTTCACTTTTTCTTTCTTAAACATCAAGCTCATAGATGATTGCCAGCTCATCGTTCACCGTAATCAACTATATTATTGTCGATATTCTGAGCATACTCGTTGAGTTGTTCTTTGGTCACTATGCGTTGACTGTGTTGCAGACATGCACCGATCTCATGTGGGCTTTGTTCTTCCATTTGGGGCTCAGGTAAACGAAATGAGGGGTAAAGAAGGGATTGAGGGATGGTTCTCTAAACTCAAAGGCTAAAGGAAACTAATGTTTGTGAGGTTAATGTCATAGTAATGCTGCAGAAAATTTCTTACTATGGAAAGGCACAATGTCACGGTGGCCTTTTAATACAAGAGCTACGGGGCTTTACAGGAAATGTTTATGGCATTAGGTTTTATTTATTTTGACTGTGATTAACGGAAGAATGTTTAGAAATGATTTAGGAGCATAAATACGAATATTATTCACGATTTCAAGGATTTCTTATGCAAAAATAGTAGAATTCAATACACGGAATGAGTTGAATTCCACAAAATTGTGGAATTCAATTTAAATTTTTTAATCATTTTTTCAAAAAAAGCAAAAAAGAATATACCCGGAGCAGACTCGAATTCGGGCAAAAATTCGGGAGGCAAGCACACTATCCACTGGGCTAATAGCTCCCAATTTAAGGAAGAGAGGAAAAGCTTATAAGCTTATAAGGACTCCGAAAATCGGTCTAAACTTTGATGCCAAATATCTCGCGTTACAGAGCTCCTTTGGAAAAAGTAAAAGCATATGAATATGGCTATACTGATTCTGAAGAATCAGTCGATTTTATAAAGCCCGTGGCTCTCGTATTAAAAGATCATCTTCACCTCGTGTCTTTTCCTAGTACCCTAGTAAGAGCTTTTCTGAAGTATTACTATGACATTAACCCCACAAACATTAGTTTCCTTTGGCCTTTGAGTTTAGAGAGCTATGATATTCCCACGTTGGATTCGGTCGGTCGGTTTCGATTGATCCAGGCTTTTTTCTTTATGCCCCAGTCGATCGGTTCGGTCCAAAATGGGAGCTGACCGACCAACGAGGCCGACCAGACCGACCGAAATATGTCTATTCCCAACATGGTAGTGAGGCTCTTATAAGAAACTCTCTAAAATTTGCATTCTTGTATCGAAGTCTAGTGTCTGTTTCTTTTTTTTGTGAGTTTAAAGAACAACCATTTTTCAGCCTAATCAGCTGTCTATGCTTTCGGAAACGAAAAGAGAAACCGACGAAGGTCATCTCGATCACCCAAATCAATACTCGTCCATCAATAACTGCTGTGAAACACGATTGAGATGTTTTATCGATTTGATCTTTTATATTCTTAGTCTCTTTGATACATACAACTTTTACATATCTTTCTACAAACATCACAATAAAAACAAAAAGTGAAAACACGTTCAGAATCATACGATGCCATAATCATGCCAGCAAAAAAGTCTTCTTGTTATCCTATCCACATTTGCCCGTTCCAAGAGCATCACGTTGACATTGCTGCCCTGATGGACAATCGACTCTCCAAACACAAGTCTTCTGAAAATAATTGTACTTCTGAAATCTATACACACAAAATAATACAGTCTAACTTGGTAAATCTAGCCGTAATATTTAGATTTAGTAATAGCTGTAGTAGCTAAATTTAGATCCTTTAGATTTAGATAAATTTTACTGCCAACCCTTCTAGGTTATGCATACAGCCCATATATTGGGCTGATGGAAAAGTCCTTTCCGATTTTTTGGGAGAGTATCTTAAATTTGTCCAATTTTGACGTTTTAAAGCTCATCCTAAAGCTGAATTCAAGACGGATCGATTGGTAAAAACCGTTTTGAGATATCTCTTTTCTAAAAGTTTTTACAGCTATTTTAGGAAAGGGCGGCAGAGCCAAAAAATGGCTGTTTTCACGTTTCGTTAGTTAGCTGTAATAGTTAAATTTAGTAAATAAGTATTATACAAAAACATTACTAAATAAGATAGCTACGGTATACGGGACTGGAGCATATAGAGGACTGCTAAGTAAACAGCCTATTAGTCTAGAACACTAGAACATCCAGCAATCTCTCGTACACAAAGCTTTCTTGACGACCGTAAATACTGTAATTGAAGGGCACCCTCTAACAGAAAGGCATAAACCTTAGCATAAACCAGTATCGAGAAAAACTCGTTCAAAGCTAGACTACGCAACACTCCGCACCGTCATTATGGGGGTGGGGTACTATTACAGTATTTACGTTAGTTTATAGGTGAGTGGTGATCACTATTGCATCTTTAGTTTAGGTTTACATTTGACTCTTTATAGCCAGAGGCTTTTGTAGGGAAAATGGTATCTGAATTGAAAAATGGAGTTCATAAACCCTCGTTCACATTTGTCTACTTGACTAGAACACGGTACTTTAGCTCTACTTTTTTCTGCATTTTGCTATTACTCAACAGTTACGCAGTCTTTGGCTCGAAAAGCTGTTCGCAAGGAAACCGAGCAGCGTACCTGAAAGTGAAAATTCTCATAGTTCTCATAAAAAAACGCTTGATTCTTTAACCTGTTCTCGGTAATAACGCAATTACTCTCCGTATTGGCGGGGCCAATTACCAGTCAACCGACAAAAAAATCATAACCTAATAAAATCATTCACATCCCTTTTCATTGACGAACAAAGTTTTGAGGTTTATTTTCTTTCACAAATGATTGCTCGATTGCTAGAGAATTCGAAATTTTGGCAAAAATATCGCGATTTGTTTTATGTGATCTTCATTACTTTTGGTTTGTTAGGTGAGATGCTGTTTGAGAATAATCAAATATTCTGTACTTATAAGCCCTAGCAAGGCCCTTTTAAGGGTTGAGTCAACAATTTTTCAAGGATAGGCCGTCCTTATTAAATGTGCAGCAGCCGTAGTAGCCACAAGACGTTAAATGTCATTTGAAAACACTTTCATGTAGCATTAAAAGTTTCATGAACTGATTCTGGGTTGATTAGTTATGATGTAAATGATTAAAAATGATTAGAAATGATTAGAAATGTAAATGATTATGTTTCCTGCATGGGCTTTACAAGGATCATTTGGAATTCTAACAGATAACATTTCAAGAGAAATAAAGACTGCTTCAGCTCCAATAGTTTGCTGAAAGTTTGCTGATCTTCCCAATACTCTAAATTTTCAGGCTTCTATGTTTTGCTGCAATATGTTAACAATCAAGGATGGTCGTTGGTTTATACTGTTCATCCCAGTGACAACGCCAATGATACACAAGATCTAACAACAAATTGTACAAATGAAATCTGGATCGATTCATCAACAAACAGGACTAGAAACCTGATGGTTAATGCTTCTAATAATGACTCATGTGCACATGACACAAACGGGACCGATGGGAATGACTGGACAGATCCGTTAACGAACAATACTTTGAACCTGACAATAATTGACCCCATTACTGTCATTGTCGACAATGGCACCTATGCACCGGATGATACCTTCTACAATGAGTATTTTGGAGAATATGATGACTACTCGAGCTCGGATAATGTTACTAATGATTTGAGTAATTATACGAGCAGCTACGATAAGCTACCTGCGGATATCTCGTTTATTATTAAAAATATGACCATTGTGGTGAGTTTTCAGAAGCGTTTATTATAAAAGGTGATCGCAAAGTATAGAGAAAAGCAAAATGGGGTGAAATTCACACTTTATACTGTAAGCTTTTTGAAATTCACTAGATTCCTAGTGATTCCCAAAGAATTCACTCGAATCCTAGTGGATTTCTGAATCTGGAGTGAAATTCACTGTTTTTCCGGTTTATTAGCATATATGGGGTGAAATTCACTGTTTTTCCGGTTTATTAGCATATATGGGGTGAAATTCACCTTTTAAACTGTGGACTTTTCGAAATTCACTAGAATCCTAGAGGAGAATCTCTTTTAGAGAATTCACTAGGATTACTAGAAGAAAAGCGGCTAAATGACAGATTCGGAGAGATATCTACTAGCGCCCATTCAAGCGCTAGTAGAGATCGACCGAATCGGAAAGTTTTTGGTAGATAAATGTTGCCCAGAATGAGGGCTACAATTCTCTGCAAAAAACTTGCCACTTTTAAAATAAATTAGCTACTTTTCCAGCTACTTTTCCAAAAAGTCGTCCTTTGCGTTCACCCTGTAATAAAATTATTATGTAAAACTGTTTTCTAGCCAACAGGAATGTGTCTAATTGTAGGGTTGATCCTGATTAAACTAGGATAAAATCAGCCTTGTGATCAAGTGCAAACTTTTTTTTGTGGGAGGGTTGAAGATTGGCATTTTGAATAGAAGTTTATTTAAAATTTGGTTATTATAATAGATTTTCATTTATTTATTTGAGGTAATGTTTCTGAGTTTCTTCACCACTCCACTAGCCGCCTATTTTGCCGTTACAAATGATCGACTGTCCTGGCCGATTCGGTAAGCTTCTATCTACAGAGTGCGCCAGAATTACGGCTACACCTTTTCAGCAAATTGCATGCCAGACGCGGCAATCAATTCAAAAACCCTAAGTATTATATAAAGAATTAAAGCCTGAATTCTTGCCTACATTTCTGTACTAAAAGAGCTTTGATTGAAGTTTTACAGCCCATTTTTCAGACCCTCAAATGAGCTCAATCCGACCAGTTCTGGCACGCTTCCATTTTTAGCTGTTTTCTAACTAAAAAACTTGTATGTAGAAAGAATTTATCTTTAGTAAAAGCGCATTTTTATTCATTTAAAAATTATTTCCAACAAATTTATAGCTTTAAGACAGCACGTACGAACATAAAAACTGAGAATTGAACACCCTAAAACCCAAAATTCAAAATAGAACATCCAATCTTTAACTCAAGTTCTGGTTAGGTGAACATTGTCAAAACACTTTGGTGGTATCATTGTTTTCCGCACCATTCAAAATGCTATCTTTATCAAAATGAAAGCGTATCGGAGACTGGTCGGATTGAGCTCATTTGAGGGTCTGAAAAAATGGGCGGTAAAACTTCAATCAAAGACCTTTTGGTACACAAATGTAGGCAAGAATTCAGGCTTCAATTCTCTATATAATACTTAGGGTTTTTGAATTGCTTGCGGCGTTTGGCATGCAATTTGCTGAAAAGGTGTAGCCGTAATTCTGGCGCACCCTGTAGTAAATTCAACAACTAATTAAACTAATTCGAAAACTTTCCTCTTTATGGTACACTAAAAATTTGTTCAGCTTATTGGCTTGCGCGGAAAATGTGAACAAATTTGTGCAAGCTCTCGGCTTTCTGCTCAGCGAAAGCTGTGGCCTCGTTCTTTACTTTGATTGGAAACCGTTCAGGTGGATCAAAACTTGTTTCCTATGATTTTCACTATTTCAGATGTACTAGAAGAACTGCTTACTCGTTTATCTACCTCTACATCTACCTTGGTATCTATGGTCTATCAGACATTGCCCTGTACTGCCAATTTTTGGTTTCGTTGAGGTGATTTCGATACACTGTCATAGAGAGTTTAAACCAGAAGATGGGCAGATTCAAGCTTGCCTAGCTAACTCTACTGTATGACTGTTTGAAGATGATTGATCTAGTAGAAGATGATTGATCTAGTAGAAGATGATTGATCTAGTAGAAGATGATTGATCTAGTAGAAGATGATTCATCTAGTAGAAGATGATTCATCTAGTAGAAGATGATTCATCTAGTAGAAGATAATTCATCTAGTAGAAGATGATTCATCTAGTAGAAGATGATTCATCTAGTAGAAGATGATTAGACTCTTAAGCTCTCTTTGAAGTAATCTCACAGAAAGATTTAGTTACATAACGTCTGTGAAACTTAGTAGATAAGATAACAAAGAAAAATGACCTATTTTGATAGAGAGCAGAAGCTGCCTCTAATTTAAAGAGAATAGAATCCGTTATAAGAAGCCAAATATCTCCATTTCAGCCGTTTCCTTGTTCTATCGCTCGATGGCGCCTATTTTCAGTATACAACTAAATTGCCAGTTCTGCAACTCATCACCCCCTATATTCTACGAATTGCTCTTGGACAGGCGGTACTGTTGATGTCGCAAAATGGTGAATATATTGGCAATTATGCTTGGATCGAATTCATCTACACGTACCTCATCAAAGTTCCGTCCTTCTTAGCCTGTGGTCTCGATGTGGTGACAAATATGAGACTGAGAGCGGTATTACGATAAAAAGTTGGCCAATAATTGATAAAGTTTAGTTGAAAAGCCACGGAAGCGTGTCACGTTGTGATTCACATCTCATGATTCAGGTTTGGAATATTCTGAGGTCAAATTTCAAGGATTTCAAGGGTGCCTGAAAAGCTCTGCTACATTTTCGAACTTTAAATTTCTGTTTTTTTTAAAATTATTTCCAAAGATATCAATATTTTATCAATAAAACAATAAAATTGAATATATAATTAAAGAAAATCAGCAAAAAAATACTCAAAATTTGATCTTTTGCTTTTACATTTTTCGAGACGCTTTCGAAAATTCTCGCAAATTCGCGCACCGTCCGCATTAGAAATGCTATTCCAGGCTCGGACCAAAGTTGCCTTTAACTGAACTGTCGTAGTGAATTCTCTGTCTCTCTGACTCCTCCAAATCTCTGTTCCAAAAGTGATTATACCGAGAAATCCATAGGGTTAATATCGGGCGAGTTAGAGGGCCAAACATCTTTTCCCCAAAATCCCGGCGCCAACCGTTTCTACTAGAGTTCCTACTAGAGCACGTAATTACTCGAGTAAAATTTGCATGAGTAATCTTTACTCGATTAATCGGCTTTTTTGATCGTGTAACTACGAGTAATCCGCTTTACACGTCGAGTAAATTGAATATCTTTACATTTGAAGGGAAATTTTAAATCAATTAAACGGCTGAATATCTTTAAAAGGAGTCGTATATAAGGCGGCCCTCGTGATTTTTCGCTAAAAGTACGGTAATTTTTCTCAAATGTGCGTTTTAAAAAACGCATTAGGAACACACTCTAGTTAGAATCAGGTGTTCACTATTGGATTCGACTTTAAAGCCTATTTTGCGCTCAAAACTCGCGAGGAACACACTCTAGTTTCTACAGGCTGAGGGTCGTTCGAGCTCTATGAACTCGGAGCCCAGTCCTATTGCAAGACAAAAGGGCGTTCTTGGAAGCAATATTGAACCTATGGTGCAAGAACATTTTTTAAATCTTCTTCTGATAAATTTGAGCGTTAATTTTGACAATCTCTCAATAAAAATCAGCGGTGTTTTAGCCTTTTTAGGCTCCTCCTGTTTTATGAACTTTAATCGTATTAAATGAATCCCAGCTTCCAAGGACGCCCTTTTGTCTTGCAATAGGACTAGGCTCCGGTCCATAGAGCCCGAACGACCCGCATGTTTTAGCCAGACTTTTTTAGGCTACTCCTGTTTCATGAACTTTAATCGTATTCAATCAATGATTTCTTTTTCTAGATGTTGAGCAACTCGCTGCTCACTATAACCAATCAAATCCTCTATTACCTCATCGCCATCATCATTTATTTCTTCTGGGGCGATGGAGTGATGCAAATCTGGGATGGTTTGCGAGACTTCAATCAAGCCCTACTTTTCAACCTTGTTGGGAGGTGAGAAGATAGATTTGATGAACTGAAACCGGTGAACGAAACTGGTAGGAACTAAAAAGTATCCAATAATATTGATCTCAAATTTATCATGTTCAGCCTCATCTGCTTGGTGTTCCTTCGTAAACCCCGAGAACACACACCCCGAAGGGATCTCCCGGCCACCGTTGTCTCGATGCAACCATCAACGCCACGGCAAACAGCTCGCTAATTTCAAGATTTGATAGAGGCTTTCTTGTTTTAAAATAGTTTTAAAACATTCGGTTAACTGTGTGTGAGAAGCTGTATAAAGACTTGACTTTGACTTTTTCAATTTCATATCTTTCATTCATAATGTTATTAAACTCGAGCTTTGCAAAAAAAGGAATTTACTTTGTAACTTTACTTTTTCCAAAAAGGAAAAAGTGAAAGGAAACAAAAGCCCATTAAATTACACCGCTTTTGAATACTGGTATCAAAGCGCAATCGCACAAAATGACGTCATTGGGGAACAGACCAAGGAATCGTTGGTCGTAAACCGTTCCATTTATATTCAGCGCTCAGCTAGTACTAGTTTTTGCCAATACATTTCCGTTTCTTGACTCTCGATATCTAAACCTGATGCATCCGAGTTTTGGGAATTACGAAACAACGAACGGTTTTATTTGTTTTCGAAAATTTGACTGTAGAAAATGGCGACCAAGAAAATTCTAGGTTTTTTTATACCACAGAACCCTAGCCGACAATCAACATGAGGCGAGCATCCGAGAAAATTCTCACGCATGAAATGGCTTCGGATCATAACGGTGTAAGCTTTACAAATGAAAAGAAAACACGCCAACCCAACTGATTCAGCTATTGAGAGATGAAGCCTGGCAAGAGAAGAGCCAAGGATTGGAGGTTTTCTTCATTTTTCGATGGATAAAGTTTTTTTGCAAAAATTTCTACCAGAACGCCTAAAAGTCAGGAATTCTTTTACAGTCGAGAAATACTAACAAAGGAATGGTCCAAAGTTAAGGTGAGCGTTTGGGATGAGTGATACCTCATTCGATAAATCTTATGATGAATATTGATGACCAAAAGAAAAATTAGCTGCCTAAAGTAACTCTACAACGAGAAATGGGATCGACAAGAAGCAAAAATGACGTTCTTGGACCCTCCTTGACGGGGCTGGAACTTTTTACAGAATCAATATTTTTGAATAATCTTTTTTGTATGTAATGGAACTCGACTGAAACTAAAATTGAATTGAATGAGGTATGACTCATACCAAGGGTCACCCCCACTACTGGTCATTTCCTTGTGAGACTAGTTAAAGTTCAAGTAATCAGACAACGTTGTTTCAGTTGTTCGCGATGAGATTGTAACTACGATTTCCCAGGCTTTCGGCGTCTCTCAAGAGATTTCAAAGCTCTTACAAGTGACTTATAAACCTATCAGAAAGCTGAATTCCAAAAAGTAGCGTTAGTTTTTCACTGTTTAAAAGCACTTTGCATTAGGCACAACCATTTGCAAGAGTTTAGGCCCAAGCGAGCAGTAATGCAAGAGATCTGCCGATGTGTAGAATCCGGAACGAGCTCGCACAGAGATGACCATGAGATGTCGTTCGCTAAATCATGGGTAGAGTTCATCGTCCCCTAAATTTCCTTATTGGTATTTATTGATATATTCATTGATATTCCGGCAAGCCGTCAAAAAGCGGATCCAGAGAGAGGACCGATAGGGCATTGTGCTGAGGACGATGAGATGACCTTTACTCAATCTTGGATATGTGTGATCAGGACTTTGTTTATTGTTCACTTTCGCACTATCTCCCTCATTATTAGACCTTGTTGAGCCGTTGGCACAAATTGACTCTTCTTTTCCCCCTTGGCCAGTAGATGCCGAATAATGCCCGAAACGCATCAATCAATAGCGATACAAAAGGAAAGTTCGCTCAAAGGAGAATTCATTTCTCTTCCCTTTTCAGTTACAAACCTTTTCTCTTTACCTATTTTTCAATTTAGATTCTCTAATCTTCGAATTTATTTTGGCAATGTCTCTTTTCGAGCAAACCTTCTCCTTCATGAATTGCACTCGTAGAGTTGTATGAGTCCAATTGAGAAGTTTTTAGTAGATAAATGTTGCCGAGAATTAGAGCTACAATTCTATATATAACACTTGCAATTGTGGAATAAATTAGACACAAAAAGTAGTCAGCTCATTCGTGAGGAGTGTAGCAACAATAGAAACGTTAAAAAATTTAACAGAAATTTAACAGAAAAGCGAGAACGTCAAAAAACTTATCAAGTTCACTGCATAAAATTTGACTTTTGCTGCATAAAAAGCAAACAACTAAGAGTCTCAGTCGAAAATCGTTTTCTTGAATCAGTATTTATACGACCTTCAGAGAAGAAAAGCTCGTTTTCATCAGAAGTTGCAGGCACACAAAGATATTTCTTGACAATTTTTCGAAGAAGCGTAATCGATCGATCGGCTTTGGAAAAAGTTCCAAGATTGAAGCGGATTGCAATTGATATCAGCAGGTGTAGAGAAATAGTGATCGATCTCCTAAAATTTAGTAGAAAATCTTTAAAAAATAGCTTACATTCTTGGTATTAGACGCTATCGGTGATGAATTGAGTGTTGAAGTTTGCAATTTTACAAAAGAAGAAAACATGTCGTCATCTTGCGGAGTTCTTTTCTTGATCAACAGCAACTTTAACTATAAACTATAAAATAACTATAGCTATAAACATTTTGTTAAAAGAAAACTCATACTTTTTCTTTTGTCTCATACTTTGTAAAGTTTAGGAGATCGATCACTATTTCTCTACACCTGCTGATATCAATTCATATCAAATATCCAGATAACTAACAGAAAAGCGCGGCAAACGGAGCCTGGTTCGGATAATTTTGGGGCACCCTGTAAAAGAAGCGACCGTATTTCTGCTTAGTCGTTTAGTTGTATTACCAGTCCATCAACTTTAAGAACCTATAACTATAAACATTTTGTTAAAAGCAAACTCATACTTTTTCTTTTGTCTCGTTATAATACTTCTCCTTAAAGCGTGGATTGAGCGCAGTAGCAATGATGAGATGATCCTCTTTATAGTCCAGACATTACCCCATTTGATTTTCATCTTTTCCGGAAGCTAGCTGCAGAACTTGTCAATGCTCACTTCGAAGACCGAGCTGAGGTCGAAAACTGGCTCCATGGTTTCTTCGCCGGCCAGCCAAAGAATTATTATTTTATTTTATTTTATTTTATTTTAAGTTATTTTAAGAAACAAATACAGACAAATTTCGATCAATTTGACTCAAAAATGTTTTTGCGCACGTGAATCCAAGGAATTTTTTCTTGATGGAGCAACTTGCCCTCCAAAAAATAGGAACACGGAACACTCTTTTTCAATTAATTGATTTCCCCGTTCTCTTTTTCCCATTGATAAAGTTTTTCAGTTTTTTCAAGGGTTTTTTCTCTTTTTCTCAAGAAAACTGGATCGTTTTTCCTAATGCGACCAGGAACTGACGATGGGAAAAAACAAGGAACCAAATGAACTTGGGATAGGATAAAAGGAGCTTTCCCGGGTCATTTTGGAAAGCAATTTTGAGCTGATTCTTTGATTTAACCTTTCTGATCGTCTATAAACTTCTAAAACTTCATTTTTGAAAAATGAGACTAATATTCGCGTTTACCCTATTCTTTATGACCGTCCTCTGTGGAGTGATGTGAGTTACCACATTATTGCAAAGAGCTCTTAGCCAAGAGCTAAAAGATTATTGTAAATTTAAAGTTAATCTAGTTTCTCTAAAAGACATCTAAAAGATCTAAAAGACAAAAAGTGTGAAAAATTCTTTGTAAATCGATCCTAATCAATTGCAACATCAACATCAACATCAAAGCGATCATGAAAACGATATTGAACCTCTGGGTTGATAAACAGACGCTTTAATCATTAAGCCAATCCTAAAATCGTAGATTTTTAAAAGAAGAACTTGTAAGAACTCGTAAGAATTGCAAGAATTGAATCTGTGCCTATAGATTGCAAGGTCTTATCCAAGTCTCCAATTCAATAGCTTTAATCTTAGCAGAGTTGAAAATCACTTTCATAACTCGTTATTGCCAAACCCGGCCATAATTAACTTTATAAACCATCCAAATAACAAAACTATCAACTCAATGCTTTTTTAAAAGAAAGCTGGATCTTTTTTATTTATAAAAACCCGCATTTTAGCCCAACTCATCAACGACACCGAAGGCAATCGTTAGACTCCTTTGGGTCATTTGGAGCCCAATCGATGAGCGGAGGTGATCAGATGAGCCAGATGTTCCAGCAACAACAACAACAACAACAACAACAACAACGGATGCAATTCGAGAATCAATTGATGACAAACCTGTTGAGGTTCATCGAGAAGTACAACGCCGAGAACAAGAATCGACTGTAAATTTGTCAATTTTTGCTGATTTTCATTGATCTCCGTGAGCTTTGATTTGTACATAAACATTTATACCTCAACATTTTTAACCTAAAATTTAGAAAAGACAAAACTGTGGGAGCAAATGCTTTTGAATCATGGAATTATAGCAAAAAAAGATATTTAGAGTATAACGGTTAGCAAATTAAAGGGGGAGGGGGTGCAGGACCCGGTTTCATCACCGCTTAGTCACTGACTAAAGCAAAGTCAGTGACTTAAAATGCTTAAGTCACCATCTCACCACCAATTTAGGACCTAGTCTTTAATTTTCCGCGAAGTCACTGACTATGGAAAAGGCGTTACTATGGAAATCGCTAAGTCAGCTAGGGAGCTTCTCCTAGAGATGACTTAACGGAAATTATGGCTTCTCTTCACCGCAAGACAACAACAGCTTGATAAAAGAAGTTTCCAGCAATCCAACATCAATCGGAGAACTTAAATTTATCGATGCTTTAAAAAGATAACAAAAAATAATAAAGGCATTGGTCATATAGAACAGTAAAGTGCCTAAATGGCAGAACCAAACAGTATTAAAATAACAAAAAAGGACATCAAAAATAGTGTGAAACAACAAAACTTTGAGAAGCACTATCTTTAGAAATATTTGGATCGGGATCCCTTGTATCTTGTTGCCTTCAATGGTAATGAAATGATGTCTTATCTTTTAAGTCACTGACTTTGCGCTAAATCGGTGACTTAAAGATTTTGGCCAAGTTAGTGACTTAAGAATTTTTGCTAAGTCGATGACTTAACTAAGTCAGCCCCTTAGCAAAAGTTGCTAAGTCACCACACTCTAAGTCACTGACGTAAAATGGCGGTGAAACTGGGCTCAGATCGCGGCCGAGTCTTAATCAAAATTTTTTACGCCAACCCTATGTTTTTGCTTTATACGGTAATAATAATGTGATAAGTAATAAAAATTTGAATATGTTTATTGGAAAATAGAATCAGAAGAGGCTTTAGGGGAAAGACCGAAATTTGTCATCGTGGAATTCGATTAGATCTTTAAGCAAAGTTCACGTTGTTGATCTTCACGGATTTTGATTTCAGACAAGAGATGAACTCTTTCAACTAAACGAAAACTCCTTAACATAGCGATTAATGATCATTTTTTTTATTAGTAATTTAAGAATCAGCTATTAATCAGCTATTAGTAATCAAGTTATTTTTTTCTAGAGCTTTCTATTATAGATGTTGAGAAAGTTGCTCGGTAATTTCATTTCCACAAGAGTTTTGTTTACATTTCAAATTAATTCGCAAGCAATAAAATGCAAAACCTTGCAGGGAATTTCGAGAAAGAACACATGGTATTTAATTGAAGCTTTTAACTCAAAAGCTTCACAACTTGGCGTATAATGATCATTTCATTACCTCGACTTGAATTTACCTACTTTAGCTGACATTGAAATAAGACAACTATTGGAAAGCTTTCTTATTCTCATTGATTACCACAAAAATCATCCAGCTAAAGTAAGATGCAAGTGTCAAGAGTGTGGTAGGCTTCGAAAAGGAGCACCTTGTTTCTCGACAAACGAAACATCTCTAGTGAAAAGGACTTATTATATCATGATCTTATTATAGCCTCTATTATAGCCTCTATTATAGTAATCTATTCTAGCTTTTGCTTTTTTGACTACCGTTATGAATGTATGATCAACAAAATTGTTCTAACGTAAATAGCACACACGTGAGAAGAAAGAGATTGAATTATCGGCCCGTTTTTGCAACTGTTTCCTCCTTTTCTTGCTTTTGAAAGCCTTTTCATAGCTTTCTTTTCTTGTTTGGCACATTTTTTGCATTATGATGTCACTAGAAAATTTACCATTATGGCAAAGATTTCATGAGCCAATTATTGTGATCATCATCACGACGTTTCTCTTTAGTGAGTTTCCCTGGCTCTTTTTAACGTCTAACTACAACGTAAACTTTGCTATAATGCAACCAGTTTGGTTCTATTAACAAAATAAATAGAAGGAAAATATAAAAGTTGCTTCCTTCTTTCCTTCTTTTTTTCTTCCTTTCTTTCTTCTTCCCCTTGTCTTTCCCTCTTTCTCTTGGTAAGTTAAGGGACCGGGTAGCTTAGTGGTTAGAGCAATTCCCCGGAAAGTAAAAGATCGAGGGTTCAATCTCCTCTCCGGAAATCTACCTTTTCTTTTCAATTCTTTCACTTCTTTATTAGCTATTTACCTCGCTCTCGATATCGCCTTTCATTTGCCGACTTTCGGACCAATCTCAAATCAGACGGATATCAGCGCTGATGTGTACCAATTCTACTGGGGTATCATCGAACAAACAGCACTCGGGGTACGTTCATTCTGATATAATTACTATCATCGGGCACATATACTAGGGAGTCCGAACTATAGTATGCATAACCTGTGACATTCGCAGTCCCTCCTGAGCCTGTCCAAGTTGGTCTCTCAACTATGATAGATTTCTTTTCCTCCCCACTCGATAACATGAAAGTACCGTTTAAAAACACTTTTAAAAGGTTCAGTTTCTCCTCCTCAGTCTGATCTCAACCCCGTTGGCCTCTCTCTTTGCCATCACAAATGATCGATTGTCGATGCCAATCCGGTTTTTTATTGATCAATTCTTCTGTAATCTATTTTCAGTTTGTTGGCTTGTGCGGCAAATGTGAACAAATTCTTCTTCATTCTCTTTTATTCATCTTTCCTCATGTGTGATCTCAACACTTCATGGCTTCAGTAAGTGAAGCTAAGAGCTTGAGATTTATGGGATATTGGGGAAATTTTCTGCTTGTTTAGGGAAGTCCCCTAGATAGGTTCAAGAGGTGCTATAGGATCTAGATAGGTTCAAGAGCTGCTACATGGGTCAGGCGGTGTACTGGAGAATTTTCAGCTACATCTGCTTCCCCTAAACCTGCCCAAGTTGGTGTCCCAACTAACTTTATCCGAAAAACTTTTGAAGATATTATGGGAAGCTTCAGGTGTTCCCCCGAGGTTCACAACACCACCGCGTCGCTTTCGGACTTCGTGTTGGAATACGGTCTCTTTGATATGGCTCAATATTGTCAGTTCATGCTGTCAATGAGGTACTTTATGCAATACCCATAACATTAACGGATTATATGTATTTAAAGAGAAAAATCTCTAAATAGCAACTTAGGCAACAGGCTTTGGTTAGGCAACAGGCTTTGGTTAGGCAACTCTACGTGGAGTATTGAATTTGTACAATTTCAATTCTCCTACCAGTTATAGAAAAGGCTAGAGTTTTTATCAAAACGATAAAATTGCCATCGTTTCTAGCCGTTTCTTGGCCGTTTCCTTTTCGGGAACTCTCTTCCGTCACACCCAACGATGGCCGTTCGCTCAATTGCTCGTTCCCTATTTGTTGAGAGCTATCATCCAGGCGGCATTCTACCCGTTCACGCCAACATTCGACACTCAGGCCTATTGGGTGAAAAACTATGTGGCATCATTTCCGTATTTCCTGAACTGTGGCCTCGATTTCGTCACGAATTACAATATGAAACATGTATATTACAAAAGTTAAAATATTGTTAGGTTAATAACCTACCGTAAATACTGTAATAGTACCCCACTCCCATAATGACGGTGCGGAGTTTGGCGTAGTCTAGCTTTGAACGAGTTTTTCTCGATACTGGTTTATGCTACAAAGCGCGCTTAGGTATCAAAAAATAGCCCTGAATTTCAGCTATTTTTTGATACCAAAGACGCATTTTTTGAAAGTACGGGCGCTTTGAAAAAAAAATGAAATACTAAAAAACTTTGCGACTACCCGACTGTACGAGGGGGGTGCGGTACTATTAAAGTATTTACGGTATCTATTTATCTTCCATTTAACATCTCGATTTCTATTTATGTTGTTATGTTAAAATGAAGAAGAAAAGATAAAGCATGTTCTCCTATAAAAAATAGATGTATAAAGTTAATCTTATATTTCACGTTTAGCGTCGAAAAAGCGGAGCCAGTCGTGCTGAAAAGCTCTTAATGATAGAGGTGATGAGCTTTTATCATTAAGTCTTTTCACTTTTTCTTTCTTAAACATCAAGCTCATAGATGATTGCCAGCTCATCGTTCACCGTAATCAACTATATTATTGTCGATATTCTGAGCATACTCGTTGAGTTGTTCTTTGGTCACTATGCGTTGACTGTGTTGCAGACATGCACCGATCTCACGTGGGCTTTGTTCTTCCATTTGGGGCTCAGGTAAACGAAATGAGGGGTAAAGAAGGGATTGAGGGATGGTTCTCTAAACTCAAAGGCTAAAGGAAACTAATGTTTGTGAGGTTAATGTCATAGTAATGCTGCAGAAAATTTCTTACTATGGAAAGGCACAATGTCACGGTGGCCTTTTAATACAAGAGCTACGGGGCTTTACAGGAAATGTTTATGGCATTAGGTTTTATTTATTTTGACTGTGATTAACGGAAGAATGTTTAGAAATGATTTAGGAGCATAAATACGAATATTATTCACGATTTCAGGGATTTCTTATGCAAAAATAGTAGAATTCAATACACGGAATGAGTTGAATTCCACAAAATTGTGGAATTCAATTTAAATTTTTTAATCATTTTTTCAAAAAAAGCAAAAAGAATATACCCGGAGCAGACTCGAATTCGGGCAAAAAATTCGGGAGGCAAGCACACTATCCACTGGGCTAATAGCTCCCAATTTAAGGAAGAGAGGAAAAGCTTATAAGCTTATAAGGACTCCGAAAATCGGTCTAAACTTTGATGCCAAATATCTCGCGTTACAGAGCTCCTTTGGAAAAAGTAAAAGCATATGAATATGGCTATACTGATTCTGAAGAATCAGTCGATTTTATAAAGCCCGTGGCTCTCGTATTAAAAGATCATCTTCACCTCGTGTCTTTTCCTAGTACCCTAGTAAGAGCTTTTCTGGAGCATTACTATGACATTAACCCCACAAACATTAGTTTCCTTTGGCCTTTGAGTTTAGAGAGCTATGATATTCCCACGTTGGATTCGGTCGGTCGGTTTCGATTGATCCAGGCTTTTTTCTTTATGCCCCAGTCGATCGGTTCGGTCCAAAATGGGAGCTGACCGACCAACGAGGCCGACCAGACCGACCGAAATATGTCTATTCCCAACATGGTAGTGAGGCTATTATAAGAAACTCTCTAAAATTTGCATTCTTGTATCGAAGTCTAGTGTCTGTTTCTTTTTTTTGTGAGTTTAAAGAACAACCATTTTCCAGCTTAATCAGCTGTCTGTGCTTTCGGAAACAAAAAGAGAAACCGACGAAGGTCATCTCGATCACCCAAATCAATACTCGTCCATCAATAACTGCTGTGAAACACGATTGAGATGTTTTATCGATTTGATCTTTTATATTCTTAGTCTCTTTGATACATACAACTTTTACATATCTTTCTACAAACATCACAATAAAAACAAAAAGTGAAAACACGTTCAGAATCATAAGATGCCATAATCATGCCAGCAAAAAAAGTCTTCTTGTTATCCTATCCACATTTGCCCGTTCCAAGAGCATCACGTTGACATTGCTGCCCTGATGGACAATCGACTCTCCAAACACAAGTCTTCTGAAAATAATTGTACTTCTGAAATCTATATACACAAAATAATACAGTCTAACTTGGTAAATCTAGCCGTAATATTTAGATTTAGTAATAGCTGTAGTAGCTAAATTTAGATCCTTTAGATTTAGATAAATTTTACTGCCAACCTTTCTAGGTTTTGCATACAGCCCATATATTGGGCTGATGGAAAAGTCCTTTCCGATTTTTTGGGAGAGTATCTTAAATTTGTCCAATTTTGACGTTTTAAAGCTCATCCTAAAGCTGAATTCAAGACGAATCGATTGGTAAAAACCGTTTTGAGATATCTCTTTTCTAAAAGTTTTTACAGCTATTTTAGGAAAGGGCGGCAGAGCCAAAAAATGGCTGTTTTCACGTTTCGTTAGTTAGCTGTAATAGCTAAATTTAGTAAATAAGTATTATACAAAAACATTACTAAATAAGATAGCTACGGTATACGGGACTGGAGCATATAGAGGACTGCTAAGTAAACAGCCTATTAGTCTAGAACACTAGAACATCCAGCAATCTCTCGTACACAAAGCTTTCTTGACGACCGTAAATACTGTAATTGAAGGGCACCCTCTAACAGAAAGGCATAAACCTTAGCATAAACCAGTATCGAGAAAAACTCGTTCAAAGCTAGACTACGCAACACTCCGCACCGTCATTATGGGGGTGGGGTACTATTACAGTATTTACGTTAGTTTATAGGTGAGTGGTGATCACTATTGCATCTTTAGTTTAGGTTTACATTTGACTCTTTATAGCCAGAGGCTTTTTGTAGGGAAAGTGGTATCTGAATTGAAAAATGGAGTTCATAAACCTCGTTCACATTTGTCTACTTGACTAGAACACGGTACTTTAGCTCTACTTTTTTCTGCATTTTGCTATTACTCAACAGTTACGCAGTCTTTGGCTCGAAAAGCTGTTCGCAAGGAAACCGAGCAGCGTACCCGAAAGTGAAAGTTCTCATAGTTCTCATAAAAAAACGCTTGATTCTTTAACCTGTTCTCGGTAATAACGCAATTACTCTCCGTATTGGCGGGGCCAATTACCAGTCAACCGACAAAAAAATCATAACCTAATAAAATCATTCACATCCCTTTTCATTGACGAACAAAGTTTTGAGGTTTATTTTCTTTCACAAATGATTGCTCGATTGCTAGAGAATTCGAAATTTTGGCAAAAATATCGCGATTTGTTTTATGTGATCTTCATTACTTTTGGTTTGTTAGGTGAGATGCTGTTTGAGAATAATCAAACATTCTGTACTTATAAGCCCTAGCAAGGCCCTTTTAAGGGTTGAGTCAACAATTTTTCTAGGATAGGCCGTCCTTATTAAATGTGCAGCAGCCGTAGTAGCCACAAGACGTTAAATGTCATTTGAAAACACTTTCATGTAGCATTAAAAGTTTCATGAACTGATTCTGGGTTGATTAGTTATGATGTAAATGATTAAAAATGATTAGAAACGATTAGAAATGATTAAAAATGATTAGAAATGTAAATGATTATGTTTCCTGCATGGGCTTTACATGGATCATTTGGAATTCTAACAGATAAAATTTCAAGAGAAATAAAGACTGCTTCAGCTCCAATAGTTTGCTGAAAGTTTGCTGATCTTCCCAATACTCTAAATTTTCAGGCTTCTATGTTTTGCTGCAATATGTTAACAATCAAGGATGGTCGTTGGTTTATACTGTTCATCCCAGTGACAACGCCAATGATACACAAGATCTAACAACAAATTGTACAAATGAAATCTGGATCGATTCATCAACAAACAGGACTAGAAACCTGATGGTTAATGCTTCTAATAATGACTCATGTGCACATGACACAAACGGGACCGATGGGAATGACTGGACAGATCCGTTAACGAACAATACTTTGAACCTGACAATAATTGACCCCATTACTGTCATTGTCGACAATGGCACCTATGCACCGGATGATACCTTCTACAATGAGTATTTTGGAGAATATGATGACTACTCGAGCTCGGATAATGTTACTAATGATTTGAGTAATTATACGAGCAGCTACGATAAGCTACCTGCGGATATCTCGTTTATTATTAAAAATATGACCATTGTGGTGAGTTTTCAGAAGCGTTTATTATAAAAGGTGATCGCAAAGTATAGAGAAAAGCAAAATGGGGTGAAATTCACACTTTATACTGTAAGCTTTTTGAAATTCACTAGATTCCTAGTGATTCCCAAAGAATTCACTCGAATCCTAGTGGATTTCTGAATCTGGAGTGAAATTCACTGTTTTTCCGGTTTATTAGCATATATGGGGTGAAATTCACCTTTTAAACTGTGGACTTTTCGAAATTCACTAGAATCCTAGAGGAGAATCTCTTTTAGAGAATTCACTAGGATTACTAGAAGAAAAGCGGCTAAATGACAGATTCGGAGAGATATCTACTAGCGCCCATTCAAGCGCTAGTAGAGATCGACCGAATCGGAAAGTTTTTGGTAGATAAATGTTGCCCAGAATGAGGGCTACAATTCTCTACAAAAAACTTGCCACTTTTAAAATAAATTAGCTACTTTTCCAGCTACTTTTCCAAAAAGTCGTCCTTTGCGGTCACCCTGTAATAAAATTATTATGTAAAACTGTTTTCTAGCCAACAGGAATGTGTCTAATTGTAGGGTTGATCCTGATTAAACTAGGATAAAATCAGCCTTGTGATCAAGTGCAAACTTTTTTTTGTGGGAGGGTTGAAGATTGGCATTTTGAATAGAAGTTTATTTAAAATTTGGTTATTATATTAGATTTTCATTTATTTATTTGAGGTAATGTTTCTGAGTTTCTTCACCACTCCACTAGCCGCCTATTTTGCCGTTACAAATGATCGACTGTCCTGGCCGATTCGGTAAGCTTCTATCTACAGAGTGCGCCAGAATTACGGCTACACCTTTTCAGCAAATTGCATGCCAAACGCGGCAATCAATTCAAAAACCCTAAGTATTATATAGAGAATTAAAGCCTAAATTCTTGCCTACATTTCTGTACTAAAAGAGCTTTGATTGAAGTTTTACAGCCCATTTTTCAGACCCTCAAATGAGCTCAATCCGACCAGTTCTGGCACGCTTCCATTTTTAGCTGTTTTCTAACTAAAAAACTTGTATGTAGGAAGAATTTATCTTTAGTAAAAGCGCATTTTTATTCATTTAAAAATTATTTCCAACAAATTTATAGCTTTAAGACAGCACGTACGAACATAAAAACTGAGAATTGAACACCCTAAAACCCAAAATTCAAAATAGAACATTCAATCTTTAACTCAAGTTCTGGTTAGGTGAACATTGTCAAAACACTTTGGTGGTATCATTGTTTTCCGCACCATTCAAAATGCTATCTTTATCAAAATGAAAGCGTATCGGAGACTGGTCGGATTGAGCTCATTTGAGGGTCTGAAAAATGGGCGGTAAAACTTCAATCAAAGACCTTTTGGTACACAAATGTAGGCAAGAATTCAGGCTTCAATTCTCTATATAATACTTAGGGTTTTTGAATTGATTGCGGCGTTTGGCATGCAATTTGCTGAAAAGGTGTAGCCGTAATTCTGGCGCACCCTGTAGTAAATTCAACAACTAATTAAACTAATTCGAAAACTTTCCTCTTTATGGTACACTAAAAATTTGTTCAGCTTATTGGCTTGCGCGGAAAATGTGAACAAATTTGTGCAAGCTCTCGGCTTTCTGCTCAGCGAAAGCTGTGGCCTCGTTCTTTACTTTGATTGGAAACCGTTCAGGTGGATCAAAACTTGTTTCCTATGATTTTCACTATTTCAGATGTACTAGAAGAACTGCTTACTCGTTTATCTACCTCTACATCTACCTTGGTATCTATGGTCTATCAGACATTGCCCTGTACTGCCAATGTTTGGTTTCGTTGAGGTGATTTCGATACACTGTCATGGAGAGTTTAAACCAGAAGATGGGCAGATTCAAGCTTGCCTAGCTAACTCTACTGTATGACTGTTTGAAGATGATTCATCTAGTAGAAGATGATTCATCTAGTAGAAGATGATTCATCTAGTAGAAGATGATTCATCTAGTAGAAGATGATTCATCTAGTAGAAGATGATTCATCTAGTAGAAGATGATTCATCTAGTAGAAGATGATTCATCTAGTAGAAGATGATTCATCTAGTAGAAGATGATTCATCTAGTAGAAGATGATTCATCTAGTAGAAGATGATTCATCTAGTAGAAGATAATTCATCTAGTAGAAGATGATTCATCTAGTAGAAGATGATTCATCTAGTAGAAGATGATTCATCTAGTAGAAGATGATTCATCTAGTAGAAGATGATTCATCTAGTAGAAGATGATTCATCTAGTAGAAGATGATTCATCTAGTAGAAGATGATTCATCTAGTAGAAGATGATTCATCTAGTAGAAGATGATTCATCTAGTAGAAGATAATTCATCTAGTAGAAGATGATTCATCTAATAGAAGATGATTAGACTCTTAAGCTCTCTTTGAAGTAATCTCACAGAAAGATTTAGTTACATAACGTCTGTGAAACTTAGTAGATAAGATAACAAAGAAAAATGACCTATTTTGATAGAGAGCAGAAGCTGCCTCTAATTTAAAGAGAATAGAATCCGTTATAAGAAGCCAAATATCTCCATTTCAGCCGTTTCCTTGTTCTATCGCTCGATGGCGCCTATTTTCAGTATACAACTAAATTGCCAGTTCTGCAACTCATCACCCCCTATATTCTACGAATTGCTCTTGGACAGGCGGTACTGTTGATGTCGCAAAATGGTGAATATATTGGCAATTATGCTTGGATCGAATTCATCTACACGTACCTCATCAAAGTTCCGTCCTTCTTAGCCTGTGGTCTCGATGTGGTGACAAATATGAGACTGAGAGCGGTATTACGATAAAAAGTTGGCCAATAATTGATAAAGTTTAGTTGAAAAGCCACGGAAGCGTGTCACGTTGTGATTCACATCTCATGATTCAGGTTTGGAATATTCTGAGGTCAAATTTCAAGGATTTCAAGGGTGCCTGAAAAGCTCTGCTACATTTTCGAACTTTAAATTTCTGTTTTTTTAAAAATTATTTCCAAAGGTATCAATATTTTATCAATAAAACAATAAAATTGAATATATAATTAAAGAAAATCAGCAAAAAAATACTCAAAATTTGATCTTTTGCTTTTACATTTTTCGAGACGCTTTCGAAAATTCTCGCAAATTCGCAAAAAAATTCTCGCAAACTCGCATTAGAAATGCTATTCCAGGCTCGGACCAAAGTTGCCTTTAACTGAACTGTCGTAGTGAATTCTCTGTCTCTCTGACTCCTCCAAATCTCTGTTCCAAAAGTGATTATACCGAGAAATCCATAGGGTTAATATCGGGCGAGTTAGAGGGCCAAACATCTTTTCCCCAAAATCCCGGCGCCAACCGTTTCTACTAGAGTTCCTACTAGAGCACGTAATTACTCGAGTAAAATTTGCATGAGTAATCTTTACTCGATTAATCGGCTTTTTTGATCGTGTAACTACGAGTAATCCGCTTTACACGTCGAGTAAATTGAATATCTTTACATTTGAAGGGAAATTTTAAATCAATTAAACGGCTGAATATCTTTAAAAGGAGTCGTATATAAGGCGGCCCTCGTGATTTTTCGCTAAAAGTACGGTAATTTTTCTCAAATGTGCGTTTTAAAAAACGCATTAGGAACACACTCTAGTTAGAATCAGGTGTTCACTATTGGATTCGACTTTAAAGCCTATTTTGCGCTCAAAACTCGCGAGGAACACACTCTAGTTTCTACAGGCTGAGGGTCGTTCGAGCTCTATGAACCGGAGCCCAGTCCTATTGCAAGACAAAAGGGCGTTCTTGGAAGCAATATTGAACCTATGGTGCAAGAACATTTTTTAAATCTTCTTCTGATAAATTTGAGCGTTAATTTTGACAATCTCTCAATAAAAATCAGCGGTGTTTTAGCCTTTTTAGGCTCCTCCTGTTTTATGAACTTTAATCGTATTAAATGAATCCCAGCTTCCAAGGACGCCCTTTTGTCTTGCAATAGGACTAGGCTCCGGTCCATAGAGCCCGAACGACCCGCAGGTTTTAGCCAGACTTTTTTAGGCTACTCCTGTTTCATGAACTTTAATCGTATTCAATCAATGATTTCTTTTTCTAGATGTTGAGCAACTCGCTGCTCACTATAACCAATCAAATCCTCTATTACCTCATCGCCATCATCATTTATTTCTTCTGGGGCGATGGAGTGATGCAAATCTGGGATGGTTTGCGAGACTTCAATCAAGCCCTACTTTTCAACCTTGTTGGGAGGTGAGAAGATAGATTTGATGAACTGAAACCGGTGAACGAAACTGGTAGGAACTAAAAAGTATCCAATAATATTGATCTCAAATTTATCATGTTCAGCCTCATCTGCTTGGTGTTCCTTCGTAAACCCCGAGAACACACACCCCGAAGGGATCTCCCGGCCACCGTTGTCTCGATGCAACCATCAACGCCACGGCAAACAGCTCGCTAATTTCAAGATTTGATAGAGGCTTTCTTGTTTTAAAATAGTTTTAAAACATTCGGTTAACTGTGTGAGAAGCTGTATAAAGACTTGACTTTGACTTTTTCAATTTCATATCTTTCATTCATAATGTTATTAAACTCGAGCTTTGCAAAAAAGGAATTTACTTTGCAACTTTACTTTTTCCAAAAAGGAAAAAGTGAAAGGAAACAAAAGCCCATTGAATTACACCGCTTTTGAATACTGGTATCAAAGCGCAATCGCACAAAATGACGTCATTGGGGAACAGACCAAGGAATCGTTGGTCGTAAACCGTTCCATTTATATTCAGCGCTCAGCTAGTACTAGTTTTGCCAATACATTTCCGTTTCTTGACTCTCGATATCTAAACCTGATGCATCCGAGTTTTGGGAATTACGAAACAACGAACGGTTTTATTTGTTTTCGAAAATTTGACTGTAGAAAATGGCGACCAAGAAAATTCTAGGTTTTTTTATACCACAGAACCCTAGCCGACAATCAACATGAGGCGAGCATCCGAGAAAATTCTCACGCATGAAATGGCTTCGATCATAACGGTGTAAGCTTTACAAATGAAAAGAAAACACGCCAACCCAACTGATTCAGCTATTGAGAGATGAAGCCTGGCAAGAGAAGAGCCAAGGATTGGAGGTTTTCTTCATTTTTCGATGGATAAAGTTTTTGTGCAAATACTTCTACCAGAACGCCTAAAAGTCAGGAATTCTTTTACAGTCGAGAAATACTAACAAAGGAATGGTCCAAAGTTAAGGTGAGCGTTTGGGATGAGTGATACCTCATTCGATAAATCTTATGATGAATATTGATGACCAAAAGAAAAATTAGCTGCCTAAAGTAACTCTACAACGAGAAATGGGATCGACAAGAAGCAAAAATGACGTTCTTGGACCCTCCTTGACGGGGCTGGAACTTTTTACAGAATCAATATTTTTGAATAATCTTTTTTGTATGTAATGGAACTCGACTGAAACTAAAATTGAATTGAATGAGGTATGACTCATACCAAGCGGTCACCCCCACTACTGGTCATTCCCTTGTGAGACTAGTTAAAGTTCAAGTAATCAGACAACGTTGTTTCAGTTGTTCGCGATGAGATTGTAACTACGATTTCCCAGGCTTTCGGCGTCTCTCCAGAGATTTCAAAGCTCTTACAAGTGACAGATAAACCTATCAGAAAGCTGAATTCCAAAAAGTAGCGTTAGTTTGTCACTGTCTAAAAGCACTTTGCATTAGGCACAACCATTTGCAAGAGTTTAGGCCCAAGCGAGCAGTAATGCAAGAGATATGCCGATGTGTAGAATCCGGAACGAGCTCGCACAGAGATGACCATGAGATGTCGTTCGCTAAATCATGGGTAGAGTTCATCGTCCCCTAAATTTCATCATCGGTATTTATTGATATATTCATTGATATTCCGGCAAGCCGTCAAAAAGCGGATCCAGAGAGAGGACCGAGTAGGGCATTGTGCTGAGGACGATGAGATGGCCTTTACTCAATCTTGGATATGTGTGATCAGGACTTTGTTTATTGTTCACTTTCGCACTATCTCCCTCATTATTAGACCTTGTTGAGCCGTTGGCACAAATTGACTCTTCTTTCCCCCCTTGGCCAGTAGATGCCGAATAATGCCCGAAACGCACCAATCAATAGCGATACAAAAGGAAAGTTCGCTCAAAGGAGAATTCATTTCTCTTCCCTTTTCAGTTTCAAAACCTTTTCTCTTTACCTATTTTTCAATTTAGATTCTCTAATCTTCGAATTTATTTTGGCAATGTCTCTTTTCGAGCAAACCTTCTCCTTCATGAATTGCACTCGTTGCGGAAAGCTCTGTGGGTGTTAAAACTAACTATTGAACTAAAATTTAACAAAAGACTAGCTTAAATCCATTCACCAATTTACACCTTTGATTTCAGTCGGCTACAACGAGAAGGTGCTTTCCTGTGAGAATCGCAACTGCTTCGATCACGAGGCCGTTTGTAGAAAGTGCATGTGAGTGACTTCATACCAATAAGCGACTTTCAACAAGAAATATTAAGCCAAAAGGACCTGATTGATAGGTTTAGACTATTAGTTTACGGCAGTAGTTTTGTTTTTGCTTTACTATTAAAATTTTCAGGCACGATCATGCCGAATCGATCCACGTCATGGATAACAGCACCGAACTCGTCGCTCGTCGTTACGACATTGAGGGTGAGAGATGAAGGGGATAGAATGCTTCTTTAACAGATAGAGTTGACTTTTCAAACAAGGATTCGGCTCAAAATCGATTGATAGACCAGCATTAAGCTTGTCAGATCGGGCTGAAGCAAAGAAAACATTATATACAAGGTGAGAGTTTCTGAAGTTTAGAAAAGATCCGTGATTTCATCAACAAGATGGAGACGAAGTTCTTTGATGGATCGATTGGTCATGTGATGCCCGAGGTCGAGGCGAGCAAGGCTGAACCTGCGGTGAGTTTGGTCGATCCATAAGGAACAAACCAAGATTTTTGAGTTCGTAAACTGACAAGTGGAGACAAATTTGAGATTGTTTATTGATTCTACAACGAAAGCAATTCAACTTTAGGTTGTTCCAAGCGAGGTCGCGGCATCTGTTCATGACAAATCGAATACGGACCAGGAAGAGGACAATCATGATGAAGTGACCTACTCTGCAGAAACTCAAGGTTGGTCTAAACATGAAAAAAAGACATTTTGCTAATAAAGTATGTAGGTGTTATCAAAGCAAACTATTTCTAGCCCACTCGGGACCGTTGAGCCACTTGGAGAAGGTGAAGCCACGAATTGCCGCTGACAAAGCCCGCTCTCTTCCCGATGATGAGATTCGTGAGGTGAGTAGCTTACATGAATTATTAGGCTGTCTCGAAAAACTTTTTATTTCTTTTCATATTTTCGTTGAGAAAATGACAAATTCACCAATTAACCTATGCTTTGCTCTAAATAAAAAGTGTTTATTGTTCAATCTCCTTCTTTTTAAGTCAATCTTTGGGTTCACTTTCAAGCAAATTCGAGAGTGAAGACGTGTTTTCCGGATAAATCTATGAAATCCTTTACGGAGAAATTTGCTGAATCAATTTCTCTGAAACTTTCGCTATTCGGCTAATTTGGCTATGTACCTAACTTTTTGTGCCCTAACTTTTATTTATTGACACAAAGATAGGTTTCCTTAGCTAAAGTGTCCGTTCATCGAGCCGTCGCCCTTTCTTGACTACCCGACTTTACGCTCCCCAAAATATCCAGACATAAGACATTTTAAACCCATTTCAATGTTATTTTGCGGAATAATAATTGGCCTTTCTAATGAGACAAATCATAGTTTATCTGGTGCGTGTAGCTGGTTGTAGCTGGTTTGTTGGTTTTGAAGGGAAGTATGAAAAGGAACGAAAAGGCTATCTGGAGAGCCTAATATAAGAATCGATGATTTAAGACTCAAAATTAGCTGTCTCTTTCTAAATAATTATATTATTTCAGGACTTCAATGATGACTTTACTAAGGTTGTTGAGGGGGAAAAAGCCGAACTGCTACGGCTTCTTTCTTACTTCAATGAGGCCTTCATGTTTCCATGCAAGTTCAGCAAGTCTGGATGTGAATCGACATTTCATCGTTACGATAAAGCGGACCATGAAGAGGCGTGTGAGTTCAGGTAAGTGTTTAGTGTTGAAGATGACGTACAAAGTACATAAATTATATGTAACAATTTGTTCTTTACAGACCCTACAGCTGCCCTTGCCCTGGTGCGGTGTGCAGGTTAGTTTGTTTGGGTTTTTGGTAAACCAATAGATAAATTTTTAGATGGCAAGGAGCCCTTCAAGAAGTGATGCCACATTTAATTAAGATCCATAGGAGGATTACGACTTTACAAGGTATGTTTTAACTGATAAATAGAAATAATATTTTTTTAGGCGAGGGCCTTGTCTTTTTGGCTACCGACATCAATTTACCGGGGGCAGTTGATTGGGTCATGATGCAGGTTAGCTTTGATTTGCAACAATAAACTAAAAACTTTTAGAACTGTTTTGGATATCACTTTATGATAGTACTCGAGAAGCAAGTGTGGCTTTAACTTCGACTTCTAGGTTCCTTGTTTTAGGAGAAGTTCGAACAGCCAATTTTCTACGCCCTTGTTCAACTGATTGGAGCCAAAAAAGAAGCCGAAAACTTTAAGTACAGGTATTAAGAAAACTTTAACGAACAGAGCATTGGAGTATTTAGGCTTGAATTGTCAACCGAGCGTATGGGAAGTCGTCTTGTATGGGAAGCCACGCCGCGGTCCATTAACGAGGGAGTAGCGCACGCCATTTCACAATCCGATTGTCTTGCTTTTGATACACCAACCGCTCAACTTTTTGCCGAACACGGGAACTTGGGTTTGTTTTTACATCTTTTAACGAAGTTAGGTTGTAGATTTTGTACAGAGTTTCTCAAATTTCCATTACTTTGCTACTTTGAAAGAGAAAATACCTAAATTCATCCCCTAAAGGATTAAAGACTTGTTTATCACCTAGTATTTCTAGGAATAGACGTGACCATTACACAAAATCGGTGCGATGCCAACGAACCGTTGCGATGATCGATTCTCGCTTCTTTGCGAAAGCTTTCCGGTGAGAGTTCACAAATCAGCTTCCACTCATCAAATCAAACTACTCGTCAAATTGGCCAATTACACATTAATAGTTGCTATCTATTTTGTTTTAGCTAGATTTACTAATAGTATCTTGTGGAAAGACCCGAAAAATTTTGTCCTTTTTCATTGGTTAGTGAGACTGAGTTACCCAGTAAGTCAATCTAAAACTTTCCGCAATATTCTGCATAAATATGTACTTACCTACTTTCCGTGCCAACTCTCTCAAATTTTATCTGTTTTTAAATGGAATGTCTTCATAGTTTTCACTGATTATGTTCACTACAGAATTTTCTTTTGTTTTTTGTTTAAAGATTTCTCCTACATGTCTATGACATGTAGGAGAGTTGACGCCCCTATATGCAAATCTCCCCACTACACCCAGGAAACTGGGTTGTACTTTATTAAAGATTGAATTAGGAATCATTTCGGAGGTGCTAGCAAAAGGGCCAAATTATTTGCGTCGCGTATCATTTGAGGCAAATTTGCGCCTATCAACGCACTTTCTTACCAACTCTGAATGAACATTTTTGGTTTTTTCTCGTCGACGATGCTTTACATCAATAACGCGAAACTTTTTCAAATGCAACATTTACAGAAGCAGGAGAGACGAATTTTTTGTTCTTCCAAGGTTAACATTCAACGAGAAATCGTTTTTGGCTGACGTTTTTGACGGCTGACGGCTGACGTTTTTGACCCTCCTTCGTGGGGCTATAAAATAAAAACTATAAAAAAAAACTTCAGCAAAATTTGGCTAAAATCAATAGCTTTAAAATGTAAAATTTTATAAATACTTTGGGAATCAAATTTTACGATTTTTTTAGGTTCACTTCCAGCTCTGCCAAGGTCAAAAATTTTATTTTTGCTCATTGTCTCGTTGATTTCTCGTTGTAGTAACTACTTGAGGCAGCTAATTTTCTTTTTGGTCATCAATATTCATCATGAGATCTATCGAATAAGGTATCACTCATCCCGAACGGTCACCTTAACTTCAAACCATTTCATTGTAAGACTTCATACTCTCTGTACAGGGTGACCAAGAATTATCGCAACACACAAAAGGCCTGGCTTTTAATCAAATATGCAACCCATCTCGAAAAGTTAACTTAAATATTTTTATTCAACATATAACACTAACAAATTAACAATTAAATTCAAATGTGCCTTCATCGGCATTCAGACAGGCCGTTAGATGATAGACTTAGACGATCGCGCACTTTCTTGACATTAGCCGGAGTAACCGCTGTTCGTTTTGCACCGCTTCCGGGCGATCAAAAACTGTGCCCAGAGTTTCATAACGTTGAATGGTTCGAGAAACGAGGCTTCTGGGGACATTCAGGCGCTTTGAGCCGCTCGTCTGAACACGCTGCTCAAGGATCGATTGTCGATGTGGAGACGCTTTCACCATTCCTGAAAATAACAATGTGCCTCCATCGGCATTCAGACAGGCCTGCAAACGTTTGGGAAACGCGTTGCCCGTGGCATCATCCAGCAAATAGGCATCATCGAGGGTATCCCATGTTTTGATGAACGCCTTCTTCAAACTTTCGATATTTTTATGTGATTTTGCACATGCCCTGGCTTCAAGAACACTCCAGACTATGTAATCCAATGGGTTAAGATCGGGTGAGCTGAGTGGTCACTCAGAAAACGAGATGAAGTCCGGGAAGGCCTTTGAACAAAACTCTTGCACTTTCTTTGAACCGGCACACCAGCTTGTTGATAAGTCCAAATTCGATTTTTGAAGTGGCATTGAGCCCACGGAATAACCTCCTTCTTTAGCAAGCAAAGTGAAATGGGGCTCATAAAATAATACGACGTTGTTGCGGTAATTCTTGGTCACCCTGTATAATCAAACCATTCCCTGGCTCAGCGAGCTACATAGGCAAGTGAACTCTTACATTTGGAAGATTGTTTATTATTAACTGCTATGACTATTTAAATCTTGAAGCTTGCATTGATAGAATAAATTATATCAATAAATATTTTGTTATTAGTGCATGTGTGCGTGTTGTTTGTGCAACAAACTATTATTCGAATTTTGTGGAAAAAAACTCGGGAAAACAAGAGAGAAATCGATCAGCAGACTCTCCCTGTTTATCACTGATTTTTCTCGAAAAATCTCAAAAAACCTCAACAAATAAGAAAATAAACAACCCATCAAGATCTACGTGTATAAATGATTTTAAATTGGCATTTGTTTAGTTCATTTTTTTTCGTTTTATCAAAGAATACCGAAGCGACTCCCGCACCAGCGATGATTTTCTTCTCTCGATTGTTTTTTCTCCTTTCGATAATCACCATAATGTGAGTGCTTTTGAAAAACGGGATCAGGAAAGTAAAAATCAGATTTGAATATTAGATTGGTGCATAAGTCTTTAAAATTTTTTCCAAACGTTTTTTAAAAATAATGCCGCCATAAACAAAATCTATTAAAAAGGTTAATTGTTTCTTTACAAAATGGCTTTTGGGAAATTCGTGGAGGTAGTTGTTTTTGTGGATTTTCAAAGGCGCAAAGGCGAGTACCCAAAACTGCTTCGATGCCGACGCTCCGTTGCCAATTTAGATACTTTCTTCAATACAAACCTATTTTGATGCCAAAGTAAAAAGATAGAGCCCATTTGGTTGCATAAGTCTATAAAATTTGAAAATGCAAACCCATAATGCATAGAGTTTTGATAATACTTTCCTTAGAGCTTTTAGGAGCACATACTATTGTACTGATCTTTACAATTTTTTCCAAACGCTTTTTAAAAATAATGCCGTCATCAACAAAATCTCTATTTGAACGATTAAAAAGGTTAATTGTTTCTTTACAAAATGGCTTCTGGGAAATTCGTGGAAGTAGTTGTTTTTGTGGATTTTCAAAGGCGCAAAGGCGAGTACCCAAAACTGCTTCGATGCCGACGCTCCGATGCCAAAGCTGCCAAAGCCAATTTGGACACTTTCCTCAATACAAACCTATTTTGATGCCAAAGTAAAAAGATAGAGCTCATTTGATTGCATAAGTTTGTAAAATTTGATAACGATTCGTCCAGCCATTTTCTTTAAAACAACAATGGAAAATTTTTGACAAAAATGCGTTTTATCGAGTTGAGGCGAGCTTTTAGTTTTCTTTTAAAAGCCATTTTGTAGAGAAATGATGGATCTTTCTAATAGGTTAAGACGTAAGAATTTTGTAAAGGATTCTTTTTCATGGAAAAAAAAATCTGAAAAAATTGTAAAGACTTATGCACTAACCCAAGAATTTCGAGTCAGACTCAGAATTTTTTAAGTCGGGTCGAGTCAAGACAACCGAGAAACGGTAAAATTTTTGATTTTTTTAGGCTAGAAAACAGTAGATTAATCACTCGAGCTTGGCTTTAGAAAATTTTGCTTGACAAAGACATTCTAGAGTGTCGACAGATCTCGCGAATCCCGAAAATGGAATGATGGATGGAAAGGCTGGAAATCACGAAAGGTTGTTTATTCTTTTGAAAACGAGAAACAGGGGAAATATTCAATAACTACCATTCTAGGATGACAAGACAATTTGTCGGCGCCATAATGGGTTTGGATGGATCTTCACGATGGTTTACAGCCTAAAGCTGAAGCTAAGCAGCCCCGCATCAACTCCATTCCATTCTATATAACAAGTCATATTTATTAAACAAAATGATTCCTGTGATAAATAAATGAGAGGAAATAAGAAAAGCTGAGCTTTACCATCGAGAGGTAAAAGAATCTGATCGGAAATTGAAAAAAAAGAGGTTTTCTGGGTATTGACAAGATTCGTTCGTCCTTTTTTGGTTCTTTAAACTTTGATGAGGTAAACTGTGATTTCTAGAGTGTTGATTTTTGATACAAAAGAGAAAATAAAGAAGTACAAGCAAGAGAATCTTAAAAACAGATGGAGGTCAATTTGGTTCATCGACCGTGTCATCCCAAAGAAAGAGTCCAATCGAGAGGAAAATCCTCTCGACTTACTATCAGACTGAGCTTTACCCTTTGATCTGTTTGATTTTTTTTCGTCTTTAACGTGATCATATTCATTAAATAGCTTCAAAAAACGGCTCTCAAAAGCCTTAAATTGGTGTACCGCGACTCTCAACTTTGTAAAGTCATATAAAGATTCTAGAAGTACCAATCAGTTAGAAAATTGGCTTGGCTACAGGAGACATACTCAAAAAACATCTCCAAAAAATTTCATACGGATTCATTGAGTTCTCGCTGAGTTAGATCCTCAGAAGTGAGTCGCTATAATTCGCGATCACCCTGTACATATTTGTGCAACTGCTTCCGAGGTTGTGGGGGCGGTTGAGGAGAAATTTTGCGAAAAGAGAAAATCTAGCACAATATAGGCACAATTTTAAAAAAAGGACACTTTGATTTTTGAACGTTAAAGCATTTTTTTCTTCCAAATGGAGGAATTGCTGCCCTTCAATCGGCCATTTTGGGGC